AGTCATAAGTCAAGTCTAAGTCATTGAACTCCCCCACGCTTGAGTCAAGTCATTGGTACAACTTAAGTCCTACAACTTGAGTCCCCATCCTTAGAGTATATGCTGTTGGAGCAACTGATGGCTACTGCACTCATGTCTTGGTTGCCATCTTATTTTCTAGAAAAATCTAACTAGCCACTGTGAGAGTCAGGATGCTGGGCAACATGCTGGTCTAATTCATCTGGTCTCCTCTAATATTCTAGAAACAGGCAGAACTTGGAAACATTACTGTTCCAAGCTGCAGTTCCCAGAATCTCCCAGTCAGCATGGGTTCTGAGATGACGGCTAGGGAATTCAAGAAGAAGAAGAAGGGGCAGGTATGAGAAAAGAAATGTTTTGCTATTTGGTGGCTAGTGTACGTAAAGTACAACACTGTTCAGCAAAGTCTCAATTCCCAGTTTGCCCATAAATATTAGGAAAGTTGGATGGTATTCCAAGCTGCAGTTCCCAGAATCTCCCAGTCAGCATGGGTTCTGAGATGACGGCTAGGGAATTCAAGAAGAAGAAGAAGGGGCAGGTATGAGAAAAAAAATGTTTTGCTATTTGGTGGCTAGTGTACGTAAAGTACAACACTGTTCAGCAAAGTCTCAATTCCCAGTTTGCCCATAAATATTAGGAAAGTTGGATGGCATTTGCAGGAAACACCACAGGAATCTTCCTCTTCCAGCAACTGTTGTCAGATGTCACTAATTCAAGCTCTTTCATCTGAACACTTCAACACGCTCAGTGCTTCCCATCTCTACAATGCAGGCCTGCCTACAAACAAGTCATAATGTGGACAGTGCATAAAATGTGCATCGCTGTGAATCTTCACCCAGAAACCAACATTACAGCAAGTGTCAAAAAGGATAAATAAGCAATATACTACCTGCATTGTTAAACCAATGGGAACTGGCAGAACCATGTCAAGGGCCAGACAGATAAAGAAACAGACAGTTCTATGTTCCGGCAATGGCATAAGTTATTTTAACTGTCTAGACAGGGCATTCATCAATAAAACTGGCTTATTATTTCCTCTTCTACTGTGCATACACTCACACATGCAATCACATTCATCAAATCTAGTGTCTTTATTTTCAAATTCTCTCGTTCCTACTTTTGTTATTCATAACAATGAAGCAAAGAATAAAAATACGTAGCTTATGAATTGACTACAAACACAGAACAAAATGTACATTAGAATATAACATCTCCCCTCATTTCCATCCTACTACTCATCCCATTTTCCTTTTCTCTCAACCAGCCAATTATAAAGCTTTGTTTCCTAGCATACCACTCTGTACACATTTGCATATAATTTCAGAAGTGTATGCAGGGTCAGACCAGCTTGGCAATTGGATGGGAGACCACCAGTGATCTCCTGGTAGGGTGAGGAGAGAATCCTGGTGGAAACTGCCAAGCGGCTGACTGTCAAGTTGGCCGCATAGGACTAGATGGCCTGATGATTTAACTCCATATAATTTCTGCACAATTGTTTTACATTAAATCCTAACTTCAGCTAGTCAATTTTTTTCTCTTCAAAAGTGCAAAACTTGTTAAAAAGGAAGATGAAAATATAGACATCTTTTGCTGGCACAAATGGGCATTTGGCCACAAATCTTTCGATATAGTGCAAGAGAGAAATGATAAAACAAATGAAATAGAGAGATATTGCCATCCAACATGGAAGTTCTGTTTGTGGTCACAGCTCTCTTCCCGTCCCTGCTGCTGTGACTTGATGAATAATCTGCCACACAAAAATTCAGCAAGTGATGCTTCTCATGGCATGGAGAGAGTATGAACTTGATCTCTTCGGTTCAGTGTGCCAGATTCCTGTTGAAGGCTGGGAGAATCCGAAGTTGGGAGAATAAGAAAAAGGAGGAGAAATCTGTGGAATGACAAAGGACAGGTTTGGACAGGACCTCATGATGGAGTCTCATTTTTTAAAAAAATGAGGTAGAAATTGATTACTTTTTCCTCTTTCTTACCCTTCGCTCTTCTTCTCAGCCTCTAGTTGCTTCATCCAGCTGTTGGACAAACAGTAGGAGGGTGGTTGAGGGAGACTTAGAAACATTGTTTTTCCTTCTCTCATCATACTATGGGGCCATTTTAGTTTAGCGCAGCATGTGTAGAACCAGATGTGGGCCTAAGACATGAGGTGGAAACAAATCTCAAAACTCCTCCCACTCAACTTGCTTCCAGGTCTGTGAACAATACACTTGTAGGATGGCCAAGTCTACCACTTTTTCCTAAAAAGTCCACAGAAGGAAATTCAACTGTGTGGTTGATGGGGCGCGGTCGCTCTCTAGAGCTAGAGAGAAGAAAGAGATGGTGTGAGAGAGGCAAAGCAAGAAATACCCCTTCAGCTAATATCAGTCTCAAGAAGAAATCCATAAAAAGTCTCAACATCCAATTGTTCCTGTTCAACTAGTAACTTGAAACTTGGCACCTGTGATCTGTTTAATGAGACCCACCAGTTGCCAAATTTCACACCATTCTGATAATCCACAGCTTCAGGAAGTTCAAAAGTACTGGAGATTGATCCAGGACAGGATTGGTACAAATAGGGACAGGATGTCTTCTGTTAATCCCTTTTACATTTTGATACCTTTTAAAAAATATGGCGAGATTTTTTTTTAATCCCTTCTTGGCAGAACTAGAAGTTAATAGACGTCAGACTTATTACTCCTTGTAAAAGAATTCATCCCATCAAGTTGCAGATGCAGTAGGTGGAGGATACTTTGTATAAGAAGCAGAGCCGCCTGTCCACTAGGCAGAGTGGACAGGATTCTGGTGACCGAGTGCCAGAAATGGCGAGTGCCACACACTCTTCTCGAAGGATTTGGCTTCCACTGTGACTTCACTGCTCCAACTCTTCTCTCTAGTAATACATTAAAGCTCAGATGGCTAATAAGGCCATCCTGGGCCAAGATGTTAATAACTAAAGTGGTGCATCGCAAGACGGGCGCTCCATTTAATGATGAATCCGCATTACGACTAGGTTTTTGCGATCGCAAATGTGATCGCAAAACAACGTTTTGAATGGGGGATTTTTGGTGCGCAATGATCGGTTCCGTTTCGGGAACCAATTTTCGCTTCCTGACGATCAAAACAGCTGATCGTCGGGGTTTCAAAATGGCCACCAGGTGCTCAAAATGGCTCCCCGCTGTGTTTAGGAGGCATTTTTTGCTGCACAGGCACCCGAAAATGGCTGCCCCTATGGAGGATCTTCGCTGGATGGTGAGTTCTTAGCTGATTGGAATGCATTAACCAGGTTTTAATGTGTTTCAATGGCTTTTTTATTTTCGCTTTACGACGTTTTCGTTCTACAGTGATTTAGCTGGAACGAATTAACGTTGTAACGCAAGGCACCACTGTATTTTAGAACTGCAGAGTTGGAAGGGACCCTATGAAACCTTGAGTCCAGTCAAGGAGGCATAGCGAGGAACAGAACCCCCAACCTCTGGCTCTGCAGCCAGATACTTAAATCACTGAGCTATGTTAATCAGCACAATGAAACTTCAAAGCTAGTTTTAATGACAGAATTGCCATTATCTGTATGTCAAATGCAAACATAGGCAAGACCTTTATAGACCATGAAAAAAAATCATTAGACATGGGATACAGTATTTGTATTTGTCTCCCCGCCTTTCTGTGCTGCTGACCACTGAGCAGCTGAGTGGGGAGACTAATCATCCTACCTCCTCGCTGTAGTGGTCTGCAGCGCAGGGAAGTGCCGTCTGGGCTAGTTCCGTGATTGGCGCCACACATATGATATTGGTGTCAATATTTCCATTTATTTCCCCTTGGAAATAAATGATTTTTATAATTCAGTATTTGTATTTATTTCCCCTTGGAAATGAATACAAATATTGCATTATAAAAATCATTGTACAATAAACAAGCTTTTGTGGATTACACCATCAGGTGTGTACCAGTGTGAAGAACCTAAAGTCCGAAGCTTAAAGTCCAAAAGCACATGGCAAGATGCATTTTTGCCAGGAAAGTTGTTCTTAGATGTTAAATCCACCAGTTTTTGGCAGGATGAGATTCTCCAGGCTTGTCTCTTCGATCGAAGTCAGGAGTCTGGTTGTTGTTTTGTGGTTGCTGTGGAACGAGTGTAACAGCCCAATCTGTACGTCACTTCATTCTCCTCCCATCACCATAACTATGACTTCTGTGCAGATGACCCTGTGCTTTTCAGATTGTACTCCATGTCTCTGAAAAGGGGGAGTAAAAAAAAGTGTGTTTGCAGACTGATGAGCAAGGCTCTGGAGACCAGGGTTCGAATCCCCACTTGACCAGGGAAATTCACTGGGGCAGTGCAACTGGTAAGACCATTCCTTAAATAGCTCACTTACCTTGAAAGCCCTATTAGGGTTGTTATAAACTGGTTCTGACTTGATGGCACCTAATGAACTAAAATCCATGAAAACTGATGCGGAAATAAACTTCTTAGTCTTGACGGGGCCACAAGACTCTATTTTGGGGCACTGGAACAAAACGGGGCACTTTTGCCTCTCTCCCCACCCTCTTTTGAATACATTCTGCCAGCTGCTGATAGAAGCAACAATCCGTCATAGATCAATTCACAGGAGGATTCCTAGGGTGATCTCCTGCAAAGGCCCAGCTGCTGCACAGTGCAACATAGTTAGTACCTGGGCAAAGCAGGACCTCTTTGCTGGTCCCAGCAACGCCGGTCCACCCTAGCTGGAGGCAGGCTTGAGAGACCAAGGAGGACAGCTGCACGGACAGTGCGTTACAAGCATGGACCCAAGGGCAGCTTTGGGACTGGATGCCTCGCCTCCGTTTACAAGCTTCTCATGCAAGCAGAATTTGTCCCGTTAGGTACCGTAATTCCCACCACATGGCATCAGTCTTGGGTTTCCCCGGCGCTTCTCCTCACACACACCCCCTCCCGGCCTGCTTCCGGGCGCAGCTCGGCTCCACAGAGCCGACCCTTTCCGCCCTCCCCCGGGGAGGTGGAGCCCCTCGGAGGCGGTGCAAAGGAAAAAAAAAGCGGGCCTGCCGCTCCCGTTGCAGCCGCTGCCGCGGTAACACCGCCGCGGGTTCCGAAGCCGGCGCAGGCGCAAAGGGCCCCACCCGCGGCGAAGGGAAAGCGGGGCGCCGCTGACCGCCTCTTCCCCGGACGGACGGACGGACGGCGCGCCCATGAGCTGCTGCGAGGTACGCGGAACCGCCCCCTCTCGGCTCGGGCCGAGGCCTGGCCGCTCGCCTCGCTTTGCTTGCCTAAGCGCCCGCCCGCAAGGAGGCCCTCCGGCTGAATTCATCGTTGAAAACCCTGCGCCGCTCCCTCCAGCCTTTGGGAAATAGGGGACGGGCAGCCGCGCTATGCCATATCCAGGGGCAGGCATCCCATAATAGGGTGACTTTTTGAAAGCGGTACAGGCGGAGGCGGGGCTGGGGGTGGAGTTCCCGTTTGTTTGCAAGCTGAGCCCTGGGAGCCTGAAGCCCTGGCCCTTGAAACATGGCAAAAATTACTGTGCTGCAAAGCACTCTCCACAAGCAGAGCTTTGAGTGATTGCGCACATGATTTGGGACATGAGCTGCGCCTTACTGACTCCTCCTCACAGTTTAGCTGCGTAGGCTTGGCTCCAGCTTGGTATTAATCCCTGTGGAACCCCCAGAAGGACTCGTTGCATTTCTATTTACATTTAATTCTCTCCCCCTGGAGACTGCCACATGGTGGCTGTTGCGACTTTGGACGCCACAATTGCAAGCCGCATTGCTGCACCCAAACCATTCTTCAAGCTTGCTCGTTTCAAGTTCCAGTGTTACAAAGCACTCTTTACCCCACAATCTTGCCTGTTAAGAAAAAGAAACTTGACTTTGTACCATGTTTTCATATTCTTCTGCAGCACTTCTGGGAATGAAGCACTTGACAGGGGCTGTTGCCCAGGGGACATCCAAGTATATGCTTTCCCACTCTTTAGGATGGCACCTTCTATACTGTGTTTGCACGAGTGTGCACGGCCTTTTTACCCTAGAGTTTATCATGTAACAGAATCCAGATCCTGCATATCTCACAATGCATTTCTGGGGTCAGTCACAAACCGTTTTCACACAAATATGCAGTTCTATCTTTTCTGTTCCCATGGACAATTCCAGTATACATCAGAGTGTGAACGTGCCCCACGTGCAAAGATTTGTGTTTGCCCAGACATGTAGAGCCTGAAAGCAAAGTTTCTTCTATTTTATAATGGGAACAATCATCTTAGAACTGGAAGGGACCCTATGGATCATCAAGTCCAGCCCCTGTCAGAGTGCCATAATAGGGAATCAAACTCACAGCTAGATACCTGAACGAGTGAGCTGCTTTCTGCCTTATTTGTCAGCAAAGGTCATCTTCACCAATATGATAGATTGGCTAGGAAAGAAAGAACCTTAGTACAAAAATCTTGGGCAGAATCCCAGGTGAAGCTTGTACAGGTCTCAGTGAATTCTCACTAGTTAAAGGGCCATGGGACTTGTTATAGGGTGAGGAATACACACCACAACTTGTTAAATGAGTGGCACTTTGCAACTGCAGTTTGCATCATTGCACTTTTGTACAGACCGGTTCATTCCCGAACAAGGACATGCACTGTGGTCTTCTGCCTTGAAGTCTGAGATGTTTCTGCAAACTCGTCTAACAAGCTTTTCTTGGTCTCTTCCCAAAATAGCTACCCATCTTGTGTAATAGATCAGTGGTTCTTAAACTTTCCTTTACCATGGATCTCCTTTAAATATTTTTTTGTTAATTCAAGATTTAAAACACTAAAGTGCATCAAATATTTATTTAAAGTTTCTCATGAAGGGTCTTCAAATGTAAAGAGACAGAAGAAATAAGTAAATTTGTTAATGCACACGTATTATAACATTTTTATTGGAATGATTTCATACAAATGGCTCAGCAAAATTCACTACATTAATATTGAAAAGTCAATTTACTCAAAAATAACAAAATGATTTTATTAGCTGAAATCAAAGAAGAAACATAATCATGTAGTCCATCCAGACATTCACACTGACACTGACTGACTCCAACTCTCTCTTCCCGTGGCTTCTGACTGTCTGTGCAGTAGCAAGAAATGTCACATGCTTTCTATCAACCACTCAGCATCATTCACTTGCATGTTCTCACCGTTTGCAGAAATATCAAACAGATACTTGCTATCAAACAATTATCTTAACCAGTTTTTGCTTTTGTTTGTTTTTAAGGAAGGCAATAGGTTAGAAAAGCCATGTTTTGCACAATGGAAACTAAGATTTTGTTCTACACTTTCTTCCTTAAGATGTTTTAGATGACTTCGCAGCACAAGTACCTTCTGGCTGTGTTGGGCTACAACCCAAATTAATCCCAAGCAGTAGAGCTTGTACTAGCCGTGAATGATGGAAGATACAGTCCAACAGACCTGAAGGCTGCTATGCTTGGGAAGGCTGATCTGGAAGTCTCTTCTTCATATCTGAACTTAGTCATATTGATGGTAATCCATTGGAGACCTTTATGAGGAAAAATACTGATGAACAGTTGAGATTTAGTTCTTCATAAACATGGATCTAGTTGAGTTGTATCATAGTTGGTGTTTTAGATCAGTGGTCCCCAACCTTTTTGACTGGTTGGGGGAGGACGGGGTCTCTGTGTATGGAAGGCGGGGCACCCCCTGTGCTCATGCATGAAGGGGCGGGCATACTCATGCCTGCGTGAAGGGGTTGGGGGCACTCACAAAGGTGTGGGCAATTGCACGCATGTGTGAAGGCAGGGGTGCTTGGGGGCGCGGGCCTACAAACGTGCATGTGTGAAGGGGCAGGGGGCTCCCGAGGGCGAGGGGGCTCTCGAGGGTGTGGGCGAATTTGCATGCATGCACAAAGGGGCTGTGTGTGGGGAGCCTGTGGTTGGTGGTGGTGGTGGTGGGAGATGTGTCTCCCCAGCCCAGACCACGAACCGGCATTGGGCTGCAGACCGGGGGTTGGGGACCTCTGTTTTAGATGATCTGCCATCTTTGCTTCAGCCATTTGTAACATGGGCTGGGCATAATTGTGCTAGCCTAGTGGATTTCTGATATATTACTTGCTTAGTGGTTTAGGTGCCTGACTACAGGGCCAAAGGTTGGCAGCTTGATTCCCTACTGTACCTCCTGTGAGTAGATCCAGCCTTTGTCGCTTTGGGCAAGCTTCACAGTCCCAAGAGGCCTTCAGAAGAAGGGAAAGGTTAACTACCTTTGAGTACACTCTACTTGAACCCGAAAAGGGTCATAATAAGTCAGAATTGACTTGGCAGCACATGGTTATTATTGTATGTCTTCCTCTGAAGAATTCAGAGTTGCACAAATGCTACATTTTATTATTGTTTTAACTGACTCTTGAAAAACAGGTGGTCGTGCTGTACTTTGCAAGAAGTGCAGAATTGGCTGGTGTCCGAACTGAGACCATTTCCGTGCCCCAACAAATAACATCACTGCAGCTGTGGGAAGAAATTGTGAGGAGGCATTCAAGGTATTGTGACTTTTAATCTATAGAGAAGTGTTTCCTTCACACTGTTACAGTGCAATGCAGTGCTTTCTGCTTGTTATCCCAGGTAAGCTTTAAATAAGCATTAAATTGGATTTGCTCTGTGTACCTGTGCATGGGGTTCCACTATAATATACATAATCCTGTTGGATATCTTTACATGCACAACGAGAGTTGCAGAGATTCTTGTGGCTAAGTGAAAAGATGACATCTTCCATGCACCTAAGTGGACATCTGGCACATGCCCAACACTTTGTCAGTTACAGTTAGCTGTGGCAGTTTTCAGTAAATATCGTATAGCAGGGGTCCCCTCTGCCCAGTCCATGGCCCGGTGCCGGTCTGTGGCCTTTGCTGGACTGGGCCACGGTGACAGATCTCCCGCCCCCCTGCACACATGCCCCCCTGCATGCCCCCCGCATAGCCCCTTCTCACTTGTGTGCAAGCATGGGGGTGCCCTGCCCCCCAGTGCATGGACCCCATCTCCCCCAACCGGTCTGCTGTGTCAAAAAGGTTGGGGACCACTGAGGATTTGGAAGAATGTCATCCTATAATGTTGCATTTTAGTGCAGCAGTACACCCCGTGGGCTGAATGTACCACCTCCCAGGCCTTACTTGTTGCCTGCATAATTTCCATTCACCATTGCCAGATTCTCTTCCCACCAGTCTGAGTTATTGCATGGTACCTTTTGCTTTCTCCACTTTCTGTGGCACCAATGTGGCTGCATTTGTTGCTTCTATGCTGTTGTTAATGGCAGGTAAACCATAACCTTCAGCAACACCCCTCCCACACAACTATCTTGATCAGGATTTCTGCAGTATGTGTGCACAGGCGCCTTCACATCTGTACATATACATGGTCCTCCATTCATTCATTAGCTGATGTCAGAGCCAGGAAGGTCTTCTATCTCTATTTGAGTGTGATCCAGAAATGGAATCAGTTATGTCAAATAAGCTGATAAGGTTTATCAGTCAGCAGAATAGTTACAAGTCTGCTAAAGAGGCCAGGAGTAGAAACATAACAAGAGCACAACTTCACAGTTAGAAGGTGATAAAACATTACTGCTTCAAAGAGACAATATTCACCTTTGCCATATTTGGACAGTCAACATGCAAAACGAGCATCTCTTTCTGATAATGAAGTTGCTGTCTTGTCTTAGGCAGTTGAGTTTTCATTCTAGCCATAGAACAATCACCAGCATGGAAAGATGGGCCACTAGACTCTGAGCAAATCTGTAAAACATCTGCTTTAAGGCATGTTGAAAAACATATTGTGTAGATTCACAAACTAATCCACATCTTCAGAATTTGAGATCTTATAAAGATGTAATCAAATTACATTTCTTTTGATTTTTTTCAAAATCAAAGACATAATCAAATTAAATTTCTTTTGATTTTTTTCTAGGCTTGCTGATATACAAGATCAAGTGGTCTTTGCTGTCCAACAAGAATACGTCCTTCTTGGGGATCAACTACTGGCTCTCCATCCAGGGGACGAAGTTGCGGTTATCCCGCCTATTAGTGGAGGTTAGCCGGGGGAAGACACCCCCCCAGGTATATGATTTGCTTTCCCAAAACATTTTTTGTACTCACTCTAAATAATAGAGTAATAATAATGGTGAACCAGCACACAAAGAATTGTTACAGATGCCAAAATTATTAACCCCCTGTAAACACAAGAGTTGCATTTTATGGCAGTATTTGAGAATAGAGAATAGCAGCAATTATGAAACTTACTTACTTACTTACTGCAGATCACTTTAGAATTCTTGGGGCATTTGGTGGCCCCCTTTGTAAACGTTTCTGTTGTCTGCAAAGTGGATGTTGATTCTTGGCCAGGTTGATGAGCCACTAACTCAGGCTACACTCCTGGAACTTAAAGGGATGTGCCCATTCTAGTGCTCCACGAACCCCTTTCTCCTCTAGTGCTCAAAGGGACCAATTTCGGTGGTTTTTAAAAATTGCTCCTGAGCTATTCTAAATGACTTTAGATATGGACTTTACCTGTAGAAAACAGTACTGCTGGTGCCATGGTTATAGAATCGTTAGCTTCCCCCAAGAGCTGTGTTGTATGGCAACTGCTGTTGCTAACATTGATTTAAAGAGATGAGGTAGTGATGAGGAATCTGCATCCTGTCCAGTGTTGGTGAGCTACAACATGCGTCATCTGTGAACATTGGCTGTGCTGGTTATTGCCAATGGGAGCTGGAGTCTTAACAACATCTAGAAGGCCAGATTCCCAGCCCCTGGTATACACTGGCATCCTTGTTGAGTCTTTTAGAAAGGTGTGTGATACTCATGGAATAAGCATGTTGATGGGTACGTTGTGTAGGTTTTTTGGATTAATATAATATTTGGGCAATTTTTCTGAAGCAGTAACTCTCTGAAGTGACTCTGACTTTAATTGTACCAGTTCTTATTTCTAGAGGTATCATGAATGAAAGTGAGGATGAGCCACACGACTTGATTAAACTAAAGCATGAAAAGCTCTCGGTGGATGAAATTTCAGCACTCGTGACTTCCCCCTGCTGTGGGGCTGTGTCTTTGTTTATAGGTAGGTGTGAGGTACACATATTTCTGAGATAAAGAGGTTCTGAGCTTAGAAAAGCTTCATTTTTGAACTTTGGTCCCTAACCTAGGACACCTAGCCTTCAGGGCTGGGAAATTCTAGCAGTCCTAATTCCAAAAAGAGTACACTCCAAGCTCTAAAGCAGGGTGGACATTATGTTGGGGCCCAAATGCAATTCATGGGCCCCTCCTGTGCCACCCTAAAAGATGTACAATTAAAAAAAAAGTCTTATGAAGGCCTCTTGTGACATGGGGTGGGTGCGATTTGGCTATGTTTCCAGAGTCTCCTAAAGATGGTGTTTCCTGAAGACTCCAAAAATACTTCAAAAGATTTTAATACTTTTTTTTGCCGCTAAAGGTTAAGAATTCTCTATTTTTCTAGGTGGCCCTCCAGGTTTTAGGTAGGTGTCCCACTACCCTGTTCTAAAGTGGTCACACTTACAACACGGAAACAGAACGTATTGCAGTTATGCCTTGTGGAACCGTGAAGACTGAACTAGCTTCTTGAAAACTGAAGGCAGCGTGGGTTGTGAGATTCTGTATGTTGTGATGACTGTCGTTGCCCAGAGGTGACAAGGGGGGAAAGGTGCTTTCCTATGTTTTAAAATAACCTGGGGGGGGCTTTCTATTTGTCCCTCCACCCTCACTGGTGTATTTGGTAAGGCCATGTGAGAGGGCCTGCTGTGTTGCTGCTCTCAAAGTCTGGAACACGCTTCTACGAGAGGTCAGGCTGAGCTCATTGCTGTCCTTCTGTGGGCTTTTCCTCAAGAGTTGGCCTGCTGTTTTTTGTTGGTTTTGCTTTTTGTTTGCTTCCCACCTTCCTTTCCAGTTTCTATATTGTTTGTTTTTAACATAATAAGCCACCTTGTGTCCTCTTGAAGAGAAAGGCCAAGTTTAAATAAATAAATAAATACAGTAGTGCCTCGACTTATGAACGTCCCTACTTACGACCATTTCGAGTTACGACCAGCTCCGGCTGCAAAATTTTGCTTCTACTTGCGACCGGAGCTTCCACTTACGAACAGAAAAAAGGCAGGAAATTCAAATTGCTTACTGTAGGTGGCGACGAGGCTGCTTCTTTGTAGCTCTTTTGCCCCAGCCGTTAGAGAGAGTGTGTTGTCGGAGACTGTTGGGACTGCCTCCTTCTGCTTCTGAGAGCGTGTGTGTGCATTTGTAGGGAGGCTTTGGGCTGCCTTGTAAGGTAAAGTGTTGTTTTCTGCCAATTCCAATGGGTCCCGCATGCTTCCCTTGCTTTTTCCTTTGTTTTCTTTGCATTTCCGACATGCCCCCTTTGTTCTTTGTGCATTTCCAATCTGCTCCGTTTGTTTTCTGTGCAATTCCAATGGGACTTGCACGATTGATTGCTTTACTCCCCCCCCTTCGGCCGGAACAGATTAACTCGCATTTCCAGTGAGTCTTGCAGTGATTTTTTTGGTGATTTTTTTCTTCAGACGGAATGGATTAATTGCATATCGATGCATTCCTATGGGAAATGGTGCTTCGACTTACGACCATTTCAAGTTATGTCCATCTTCTGGAATGGATTATGGTCATAAGTGGAGGCACCACTGTAATTGGGGTAGTGATGCTCACTGATAGATCTTGAACAGTGCTGTCAAGTTCTAAACCAGTGCTGTCAAACCTTAACCTTTTGTGCATCCACATGGTTTGGTCTTTCCTACTGAGCCCATCCTGTGAATTGTGATTCCTCCCTAGTTGGTTAATCTGGTCTGATATGAGGGTTTGATCCTCGTGGGTGTATCATTGTTAACTTGCCTCTTCATAAAACCCTCCAGTCAAAGGTTCCTCAACAGGCCAGATACTCAAATGAAGGTGTTGTTTCATTACAGGCACTACCAGGAATAACTTTGAGGGGAAAGAGGTGCTACAGTTAGAATATGAGGCATATGAATCCATGGCAGAAGCAGAAATAAAGAAAATATGCACAGATATTAGAATGAAATGGCCTTCAGTGAAACATATAGCAATACATCATAGACTTGGGTATGTATAACATAGACACACTTTGCCTGATTTGTTAGACAAAAAGCATGGGCTTTCAGATTTGAGTTTTTCAAAACAGAAAATTGGACTCCTTTGCTGGTGTTGAAGGGTCATAGAAAATGGTCTTATGCCTGCTCTTTTATGCCAGCACAATCTTAACTCTAAGATGTCCTCGCTGTAAGTGCATAGGATTGGATGTGAGACCTTTTTTGCCATCTGATCTGCTGACAGAACTGCTCTGTGGACTGTAATTTGCCTGCAGATGAGGTTTAAAAAAGGTGGTAAAGGGGGGCAGACTGAAAAAAAGTGAATTTCAGCCCTGGGACACAGCAACAGTGTTTGTACAAAGATAGAAAAAGTCAAGGACAGCCTTAATAATTTCTACATGTGTGCTTTTTAGTTTTTGGACTTCAGATCCCAGAATTCTTCAAAAATTCCCCGGGTAAAATTGTAGGAGTTCCAGCCCACAAACACACACACCTGTAGACATCATAATTCTATTCACCTGGACAAGGTGGAGGCCTCTTAAGCTGTATAGCATTTAGGCCTTATTTCTTGCAGTGTTTTCTGGGAATGATAGCCTTGCCGCTCTTTAGAATCTGCAGCTGGTACTTTCCGAAGAACTACCACAGCCAGGAAATATTGCAGCAAGAAATGGGGCCTGGGATGTTATAGAGCCTGGGAAGCTTCAGCCTTGTCTAGGTGAATGAAGTGAAAGTGCCTCTGTTTGTATGCTGGAACTCCTACAATTCTGCCTAATTTTGGAGAATCCTGGGATTTGTAGTCCAAACAAACAGATCAAAATGGCATGCCTCCACAAGTTTTCAACATCCCTAGACTGAGAAATGTTTGGATGCATCACAGCTTCAACTGATCTAATGTCAGTTCGTGGTATTGACCAGTTAGTATGCTCTCCTACTCAAGTCTTGCAAAATTACTTATTTAGACTACAGTTCCCAGAATGCCACCCCCTCCCACAGCTAGCATGGCTAGCAGTGATGCTGGCTAGGGCATTTTGAGAATTATGGTCCAAAAAAGTAATTTCCCTAAGCTTTCTTACTAAGCATGGGACATTTGGATTTCTTCAGCCCTTGGAATTTGCCAGGAATTTCCCGAGCCAGAATTCTGGAGGCTTTGGCTAAGAAATCAGTGTCCTCACAGGAGTTTTCAATTATGCACAGATGTGGAATGAAGAATGTATGAGCCATTTTGTTCCTGTAAAGAAGGTAGAGGAAAAGTTATTAAGCTCTAAGTTGCAAGGAATTAGGGGACTGGTAGTTTTTGCAAGGCACCTTGTGTAGAGCCTAGTGGGCAGAGAGAGACTACCAGTCTTCTGATCTGTTACAGCTTCAGTAGAGTTTAACCACTTGCACCAATTTCCTCTGTCTTCATATCCTTTCCTTTCTTGGTGCAAAGCTTGCCTAAAGCTTCCAGACTTCTGGCTGGGAGAATTGCTGGCAAATTCTGGGGGCATGAAAATTCCATGCCCGTCTGCTACTTCATATCCTTTCCTTTCTTGGTGCAAAGGTGGAATAATTGAGCGGGAACTTTCAGAAGAGCAAAACAAAATGAATCTCTTGACTTCTGTTGACATTGTAATGTGATTTGTTTGGAGTTTTTAATGGTAGCAAAGAACAACAATCAAATTCAGTGGAAACATGGGTTCTTGATCTTCCCTGCCTAAGCTGTTTGTGGGCTTGGGTTGTTTCTGGCTTTGTTGCCATTGCTAGGTCTTGACCTGGAGACAATGATTGTTCTTCTCTCATCTAATTACTGTCACAGCAGGTGGTTGTTGTTGTTGCTGCAAATAATCTCAGACTCTAGTTTTTCTTAATTTGTTTTCCCATTGAACTTTACTTTGCGGGAGAGGTACACGGATTCTATATAATTCAAATGTTCCTAGAACATGTCCTTTCTATTTTTGGATGTCTAAACAACAACAAAGAGTAAGCTAATGCATGATAAAAGCAATAATCAAATGTCACTTTTCATGTCTGTCTCTGTAGGTTGGTTCCTATTAGTGAAGCGAGTGTGATCATAGCTGTCTCTTCCCCTCATAGAAAAGAATCTCTTGAGGCTGTGCAGTATGGTATCAATACTTTGAAAGCAACTGTGCCTATATGGAAAAAGGTACGTGTGTCTGTGTTCTTGTTTTTAGAACAAAAAGATAATAAATAGCATTTGTACCAATGCATGCATACTGTGAAGGGAAAGATTCTTGAAACAGCTCTGGGGCTCGTCTAGCAAACATACGGGCTTAAATCCAAATGCTAGTTCCAAACAGAGTAATCTGCTGAACCAACTGCTGAACGGTCGTTACATGGATTCTTTGATTTTGTTAGTAGTGGGAGCTGGCAACTGGTTTTCAGACATATTCTATAAACTGCTTGGCTAAGAGATAATATGTACTCATTAAGTTATACTGCAACTTCTGAAAACAATGGCCTAAATCCAAATGCTAGTTGCAACTAGAGTAAAACTTCTGACTCAATTACTGAGTTAACATTTATGTAAATCCCATTGAGTCAGTGGGTCTGCTCTGCCAGTTGGATTTGGGCCTACATGTGTGAGGAGTTATTTGCCTAGGCCCTAATATTTTTCTCTCCCAACCATTAGTCCTCAAGGTTGTGAAGTGGAATGGGCAATAGACCTACAGAATTCCTGTTCTGACTTTGGTCCCCACTTTCAGGCACAAAGACGCAAACCCAACAAACTGGCATGCAGCACATGTGAGGGATGGAATCACAATAAGACCGCAGCAGCTCTGCCTCCTTGTGCTGCAGGTTTCATCTGTTGCAGCAGAGAGAATCCTGGTGGGCAAAGCTGAAGGAAATTATTCCCTACCATCTTCAGCCAGCTAGGTTGCTGTAATACAGGCCAGGTCAACACACTCATCCAGAGTCAATTCTTGGATGTTTGCTGTTCAGCCATCCACTGACATGGCAGTAAGCACAAACATTTCAACTCACGGGGCTCAATACCATGACTAGCTAGACTATTGGGGGACAGCTTGGGGCAACCAACATCTTGTTGTTCTCTAGCTAGTTATTCTATAGCTACTGACCCTTCCCAATTTTCCCTACTCTGTGTTGTCCTGTTTCTCTTCACTGTTCTCCTTCACCCACTTGGCCTATTTCAGAAGCAAGTGTACAGAAATGGGAAAGTTACTGGGAAACAGTTAATGGTTTAGTTAGCTGTTAGTGAGCTCAAAATCATATTTTTTTAAATTTATTTTTTATTTTTACAATCATATTTTTTTTAATTTATTTTTTATTTTTAACAACTAGGGATAAGATGAGTACAAAATACATCCTTACAACTGAAAGTAATTTTGAGGGGAAATTCTCAAGCAAATCCTTTTACCATAATGATTTAATGCTTAATACACAGCCTGAGCATTATAAAATTTAAAAATGCAACGATAATAAAGCATGCTGTATTTAAAAATTGAATTAACTGTTTTCTGCCTTTCTTTGTGGTATTTTAATGGTTACCCCTAATGCAATTAAATCTCATATATTACCGTTGCATTTTGAGCATGGCAGAAGGTGGCAGCAGTTGCTGAGTTTTGCCTGTGGCAGCCACTTATTGGTGGTGTGGCCCCTGCTGGGTTCTGGTGAGCTCATGTATGGCTTTCCAGACTGTGGCAAAATACCAATCCCTCACGTTGCTTTCTTCCTTATACCACATATATTGATTTTTTTTAAAATTCTAGTGCCAGGCTAGGCAATATACTCAGCCCTTAATTCTTGCTTGCCATAGCACATGATTTTCCTCACCTATCTGTCTGACATGTAGTGTGCTTTGTTTTGGAATTGGTCATTTGAAGGTAAACAGAGGTTATTTTGCTAGTCTTACTGCTGAGCATGTGCCTCTGATGAGGTATTATCATTCGAAAGGAAAAACTGTCGATCTCAGAAATTTCTCTTAATGTTTTCTTTGGCCCTAAATAGTTGGATTAAAGATGAGAGCAACAGGATTGGTGGGAGTTGAATCCACCCTCCCCTAGTACTTCAAGCTCCATGGAAAGTTTGGGGGACCATGTTGACAGCAGCAGTCTATAAATAAGGGGCAGAAAGAAGATCCTTGAAAGCCAGGTGGAAGGGGACATCCATGAGTTGGGTGCTTTGGCCCTCAGAGGGCTGAGCCTGAAGCTAAAGCACTGTTTTTCAGTGGCTTAAATCTTGTTATGCAGTATGTGAAAGGTGTAATTTTAGAGGCAAATTGCTGTGAGTTAAGAACTCTTCGCAGGCACTGTCTGCATGCTGAGTCACACAACTCAACATGCAACAAGTAATATCTACTGAGATTCCTTATTGTATGGCAATTTGCCTCTAAAAGTCATCGCACAAAATAATTTTGTCCAGTGTAACTAGCTTTGCACTAGTTCTCATTCTTGATGCTCTTTGGTTGCAGGAGGTCTATAAAGACGAGTCTTGCTGGAAAGAAAACAAAGAATGCTTTTGGGTCAAGAAAGAAAAATAGAGTATTTCTGACAGGTTCCCGGAATTCCTACCTATGTTGAAATAATATGGAGGACAATCAATTGCAGCCACAATCAGAGTTAATCTTAGAGTGTCACTGTCTAAGATCTGAGTTTCTCCAGATGGACAGTGCATGAATGTCTTTTTCTGGTAAAATATACCAGATGGGCAGGATATAAAACAAACAAACAAACAAACAAACAAACAAACAATGTTTTTCTTATGACCCTCAAACTTGAATGAAAGAAGAATCTTACTTCTTGGAGCATAATTCTGCATGTTTTAACAGCCTTTCCCCCTGCTGGGTTCCAGGCACAAATATATGAATAGAAAGAAGACCATATGCATGCAGTGCGTCCACAGTGTTTTAAAGTGCACTGGTTCCATGACTGACTGAAATTTGAACTTGAAGTAGAGTGGTATGCGGCCATCTTGTGCCCTGTAGTTGAGTTGGCATACAATTTCCTTTCACCTACAACTCCATTCATGAGTTTCTTTCAACCTATTGAGATAACATTTTTCATGTATATGCATTCTTCCATGATGCTTAGAAAAATTAAAGGCACACAGTTAAAAGAACAGTTCCTAACGAGCTCAGTGGTTTAAGGCGTTGGCTACAGAGCCAGAGGTTGGGAGTTCAGTGGGCTACTGAGATGAAATTGGTTGCACTGCAGGATGACCTTTTCAGGGAGGCTGACGGGCAGATGCACCTTGTTGGTATTCTTGGATCTCTCAGCGGATTTTGATACCATTGACCATGGTATCCTCCTGGACAGGGTCTCTGAGATTGTGATTGGGGGCTTAGCATGGAGCCGGCTCCAATCCTCCTTGAGGACTGTGTCCAGAGAGTTCAGCTAGGGGAGGAGGTGTTGGCACTTTGGACCCTTTGGTGTGGGGTTCCTCAGTATCCCCAATGCTGTTTGACACCTATGTTAAGCCGTTGGGGGAGGCCATCAGCAGTTTTGGAGTAAGGTGTCATCAGTATGCATGCAACTCTGCCTCTCTATTACCACCTCTGCAGTGGATACTGTCCGGACGCTGGAGAGTTGCCTGATTGCCGTACTGGAATGGACCAGAGCTAACAGGCTCAAACTGATTTGTCCAGGGGGGAGAACACTGATAGCTATGGGGGGATGGTCTCTAGGCTGGATGGTATTCCCCTCCAGTTCAGGGGCCAAGTGCGTAATTTGGGCGTTCTTCTGGACCCAGCTCTTTCTTGGGAGTCCCAGATTGCAGCCGTGTTCAGATCAGCCTTTAACCAGCTTAGACTAATCACCTAACTTCACCCCTAACTAGACAAGGACTCCCTCAGGACTTTGGTGCAGACCCTGGTCATCTCCTGGATTGACTACTGCAATGCCCTCTATGCGGGGTTCCCCTTGAACCTGATCTGGAAACTTGAGCGGGTCCAGAATGTGGCAGCCAGACTGGTGGTTGGTGTAAGTAAACTTGACTGCATCAAATTTCTGGCTTGTCTCCACTGGTTGCCCATGGCGTCCCATATCAGGTTCAAGGTTTTGACACTCACATACAAAGTATTCCACGGTTCGGGCCTATTTACTTGTAGGACCGCCTCTCCTTCCATGTGAGTGTCAAAACCGTGAACCTGATTTGAGACGCCATGGGCAACCGGCTTGTCTCCACCGGTTGCCCATGGTGTCCCATATCAGGTTCAAGGTTTTGACACTCACATACAAAGTATTCCACGGTTCGGGCCTATTTACTTGTAGGACCGCCTCTCCTTAATGTACTCTGCCCAACCCACAAGATCATCCCAGTCGAGGCTCCTTTGGGTGGCCCACAAATCCTCTCCAAGAGGTAGGGCCTTCTTTGCGGTGGCTCCAACTTTATGGAACCAGTTTCTGAAGGAGCTGCACCTAGTCCCCTCCCTGTGGACTTTTAGAAAGTAATTAAAGACATTGCTTTTCAGAGAGGCTTTCCACACCGACCCCAGCTGACCAACTTCCCCTTTTTCTTTCCCCTCCTCTTCTTTCATCCCTTCCCCCCTTTTTTTCTTTCCCCTCCTCTTCTTTCATCCCCTCTTTTCATCCATCCACTCTGCAGATTAGTTGGTGCCATCTGTTTTTTTAAAGGGTTCTTGCTATTGGTGTTAATAGCTCTATTTTTATCTTTGTTTCCTATCTTATGAGTTGTAACCTGCCCAGTGTAGTGCTGTGACACTAATGAGAACAGGATACAAATTGAATGAATGAATGAATGAATCAATCAATCAATCAGTCAATCAATGCCTGCTATGCCTCCTTGACAAGGCTGGACTCAGTGATCTTTAGTGTCCCTTTCAGCTCTGCAGTTCTAAGATAACTGTAAAACTGGTTAATTTCAGCTATGTTTTATTCAAACACTTCAGCTTCATAATGACTGAAGGGAATTTTGTTCCTGTAAAGCCTCATTAAGACCAAACAATTTATCTCAGTTCATACGTAGAGGAAAATTGCAATTAATGAAACACAGGAATTATTTTCTCATCTGTGTACTATGGATTGCATGAGGTCAAGGCTGGTCTAGGTTCATTGTTTAACACTACAATGTGTTGGGTTTTTTTATTATGTACAAACAGGATAAGTGGGATGCAGAGTGTTTCAAGCACAACAAAACATCACATAAAGCAGGAGTAGTCAATTTGCGTCTGTGGGCTGCATGCAAGTCCCTAGACCCTTTTTTGTGTCTTTCAGTGATTCCCAGAAAAGTAAAATAAAATACATATGTGTTGTGGTTTGCCGCTAAAATGTAGCAGCAAGCTGCTGAATGTGAAGACGAATCATAGTAAGACTCCCCACAGGCCTTTTTGTCAGTGTTAATTTAACCAAGAAACCGTCTATTATCACTCTCTTCCAAGGTTTTCTCCTAACATTTCTCTTCCTTAAAACTTGATTACTTATTTCTTGAGAATTAAATCTTTACATTGTTTTTAGCTATGATTTAACAGGCTGTCTTGCTCATTTAATGAGGAAACTGTTCTGTCTACCTCACCGACTGCTAGCTCCAAAGGTCTTCATTTTAATCTATAATAATGAATAAGATTTACTGAAATAGATAATTTTAATAAATGTATGTCTTATTTAAATAAAAAATGATATAAATAATTTTTCCGAGTCCTCGATACAGAGAACATTACCATAGTCTCTCAAGACTGAAGGATGCCTAAACTATTTTGAGCAGATAAGTTGAGATGCCCTTGGTAGTACAGTGGTGCCTCGCACAGCGAGGTTAATCCGTTCCAGATTAACCCTCGCTGTGTGAAACATCGCTGTACGGAAGTAAAAAAGCCATTGAAACGCATTAAACTACGTTTAATGCATTCCAATCGGCACGTTTACTTACCGTACAGCGATGCTGGCAGCCATTTTCGCACCCTCCCCTCGCAGAACGAGGGCACGAAATTGGCTGCGATCAGCTGTCCGGCGGGTCCAAAATGGCTGCCGGAACAGCCGAAAGGGGGTGTGGCCTTTAATAAAGTGTTTACAATGTAAAGTAGCTGTCATATGCTAATCTGATTGAATTAATAGAACTAGTAGAAGAGATGAATGTATTATTTTTAAGTGTTAATATTTGGTTGGGTTTACATTTAGCAGACCTGGGCTCTGTGAGTTCCCGCCTATACGGGCACCGTTTTGCGATCGCATTTGCAATCGCAAAAATGGCCTCGTAGAGCGAATTCATCGCTCTACGAGGCGCCCATTCTGCGAGGCACCACTGTAGTTGAAACAATTAGTTCCATAAACACACATTTCCATTTTGATTATTGGATTCAAACATCAAGACTATCAAGATTTCTTTATATCTAGTAGTTGCATTAAAAACTTTCCTGCCTTTTAGTTCCTTGGAAAGTTTATTAGGAGCAGATGAGTAATGTTGAAACAGGTTTTGCCCAAAGGCTGCCACATTTCTAATATTCTTAAGGAATAATCAAAACATTTTACATCCTTTTCTTAAAACTGAATAGGTTGGATTGCACTTCGTTATACTTTACATAGGCACACTGAAATACGTGTAATATACGTTAAGTGTTTTCTCACTGAAGTGCAACTGATTCAAGGGGTCTCCTCTAAAGTGTTACTAAGTTTAGATCATCCAAAATAAATGTGTATTTATAGCTGCAAACAAGTTTTGGTCTATGATACCACATCTTGGAAATTTTCCGTTTTTGGATTAGAAATTCACAGTATTCATGGCCAGTGTGTATGTGGGGGGAATTATTGGAGGTGTAGGTTTGTTTTTTAAATGAACTTTTCCAAGCTCTTACTTTGCCCTCTTCTACCATAGCCCACAGATTGGGAAGGAAAAGTGAGAGAAAAAGGAGAGGATGTTGCAAAGAGAGGAAAACGCTACTCTAGAGCTATAGTCCTGGTCACTGCCAATATATGACCTTTGATATATCACCTGTGTGCAAATGTCAAGACAAACACGCTGCATTTCTGAGTGCGGCCACTATTTCCAACTTATTCAGCACCACTCCTCTGTTCTCTCTCTCTCTCTGCATGTGCCCCACTTCAATGAAATTAGGCTAGGAGCCACATTAGTTTGAATGCAGGTACCCCCTTCATTAAAGCAATACCAAATAGAAAATAAAAATAAAAAATGACTTCTGTAAGGTTTTGGAAATGGAAAAGTTCATGAGAAGGAACTGAAAAAAAGTCAGCATAAGGTACCAATCAAAGTATAGATTTGCAGGAAGATGTGCTGGAGGAGACTCTTGGGAGTCTCCTGGACTGCAAAGAGAACAAACCTATCCATTTTGAAGGAAATCAACCCTGAGTGCTCACTGGAAGGACAGATCCTGAAGCCGAGGCTCCAATACTTTGGCCATCTTATGAGAAGACTCCCTGGAAAAGACCCTGAGGTTGGGAAAGTGTGAAGGCAAGAGGAGAAGGGGACAGCAGAGGACAAGATGGTTGGACACCGAAGCTACCAACATGAATTTGACCCAACTCCGGGAGGCAGTGGAAGACAGGAGGGCCTGGCGTGCTCTGGTCCATGGGGTCACCAAGAGTCAGACTTGAATAAATGACCAAACAACAAAAGCAGGGCTGAACTATGATTTCATTTCATTTTATTGGGAAAATTTCAGAGAGAATCTATGATGTGTGCCTGAAAATCTTGGGTTCTGCAATACTGGGGATAGCCAGTAGATGTCAGTAGCAAAACACCTGTGAAAAATATGTTTTCTATATGCACTTAAAAAAAACTAATTACAATTTTTGTTTGTTTCCAAATCATGCTTGGTGTTTTGAAAATTGAAAAAAAAGTATATAGTTTCCAATTTTTGAAGTTACAGGTCAACTTGGAAGAGCATTAATAAATCTGTTTTGGTATCTGAGGTTTCATCTTTTCCTATACCTTGTTTGTCAATATCCCAGCAAAAAGAAACAAGCTAGCTCATTACAAGAGGATACAATCAAGCACAGAATTCTTCCTCTCTCGAGTATGTGTGTAGCAAATTAGTTCAGCAATAGGTTTCTTTCAAATTTAATCAGTCAGATATTTTTATTTAAGCACACCACTTCTGTACATCAGTTATTCTGACATTCTGGAACAAAGTGCAAAATATACATACATTGAGGCAAAACTTGTTACACCCAAACATTTCGCAAAGAAAATGAATACTTTGTACATTGTACTTAAAGGCAGTGAAAATGTATCATTGGGGAACATCTGCATGAACCTCTTGTAGAGTTCAAGAATGCAAAGGTCACAGGTCCAAGAATGCACGGTTGTTGTTACGTGATAATTTTGCTACTAGGTGGTAAAACTTTTATTTGTGCGCATCAGTGTCAATAACACAATCTTTTAGGAAAATCACTCAGAGCTTTTGAGTGTTTGAGATTGTTTGCAGACTAGAATATAATTGATAAACATGTTTTTTTAGCAGCTTGGATGACATGTATTTTGCAGCATTACGGACCGGCATTCTTATGCATGTTTATTCAGAATCCTGATCCCAGTGTGTTCAGTGAAATTTTATTCTGTATAAGTATGCATAGGAATACAGTCTTGGAGTCCTTGAGGATCCAGTTGGGGAACAAAATAACATATTTCCTTTATACAGTATTGCAGTTCTCAGTATGATGAACAGGTCTGGAAAATTGTTATTTTAAAAATACTATTCATTGTTCAAATGCCAAAGACTATGAAGTTCATACCTTCAGTCTTGCAGTTTCTATTGAATATTATCAAGCACATATTATGGCCATTCAACCCACTGACTTCAGAGCTGATGCTTACTATGATGGAAATTTTATCATTAACCAGAGTTCTAAAATCTGGGTCTGAAGCATGTCCAGGCTTGTCTTCCATACAGATAAAAATAAGGACAATGTAAAACAAAAGGGTGGAAGAATTACATGTACAGGCAAGAAAAGAAAAACTCTGCAGGAGAGGGTGAAGCTGGCAATCTCTGCCTGTGCTCTTAACCCTAGTTAACGATTTGAGTTTCATTGTCTTTACCGTGTCCATTAAATATCAGCGATATCAGTTATGTTGTGATACTTAAAAGTGCTTCAGATTCCATTAACACATTACTTTATGGAATCTTTCAGTAAATAATAGTTTTTAAGTATGCATGTTACAAACATCAGCAGGATCACAGGCTTGTGCCAGTTGGAAAGTGCAACAAAAGTACTATTGTTGGCAGGAAATCAACCACTTATCAAGTCTTGAAAAGGCAACACTGCAGCTTAGTTGATGGTATGACTGCAAACAGCCCTAAAGATACATACCCTCATTTTCTGTATAATGGATAAATTAATGGAAAGCAAAATCAACAAAAAATGCTACCTTGATCTTAAGGACCCATATGGCTGCAACGGCTCTAAAATATATTAGTTTGTACCACTGTGGGGCAGTCCATCTTGGATCTGCAGAAACAATATATTACCCTGAATGTACTTTGTACTAAATATAATTCCACTCCCCCACAATGCTTGCCTAATAGGGCCAGAATCCAACTCTGTTTTGGGCTCCCTCCTTGGACTTTTCAGCAGGCCAGCAAGCCTTTTTCTTTTTTCTTTTTTGCTAAACCTCTGAGTTAATCTGTGAATTCTTTTTTAAATAGCTTTTTTGAGTTGTATATTTCTTTTCTTTTTGTGGAGCAATCCTATGACTTTTGATAGGACTTCCAGGGGGCAAGAGAGGGAGATACATGCACAGACATCCTCCCTGGACTCCTTCCATTGCCATTCTTTTGTCAGTGTTAAAAACGGGGATGGTTTGGATCTGCAGGAGACTAGCCTCTCTTGTTCCTCCCGATATGCTCCCTAATAAATCTATTCTGGCTTGAGAAAAGGCACAGTAAATTGTATCTCATTGGCAGCAATTACAAAAGCATGGAAAAAGGATAAAGTCCAAATTTCTGTTGCAAAATACTACATGAGGAGCAGCAATTGTGCAAACAATTTTCACATTTTGGCTAGCCATCTGCTATGTACCTGCGTGTACCACTGAGTGCATAATTAACTGCACTGGTTAGACATGGCTAGGTGCACAGTCTGTTGTATAGCAAAGCAAGGGCTTGCAGAGTTGAAACCCCAGGTCTTTATGAGTAGCAAAATCTATATCATCTGCCACCCTTATATAGCCTTTCCTGTTCTGAACATAGCTGAAATCCCCACTGTAGGAAGAGAGAAATTAATTTCCCACAAAATGATATGTTGCAATCTATTCTTGCACTAATACAAGGTATTTGAGGGTAGCTTGGTCTTGAATGGGCAATTAAGAACCATTTCCTTTACAAAAGGTCTGCTCTATTTGTTCACATAGACCCATCCAAATTGCTGCATTATGGAATCTCCTGCGGTTGCTGGTTACAAGGGCTGTCATGATGAGCTCCAACACTTCCAAGTGAACCACTACATCACTGTGCACAACAGAATGAAAGCAAGATAGTGCACACCAGTTGCATGATTTCTAGTTCATGCTCTGCAACACTAACCTGAAATTGCAGTTTTCTGAACTGCAACTGCCAGCAGTCCTGACTAGCATATCAAATGGTGAGGGATGATGGGAGCTAGAGTTTGCAAATCATTGGAAGGCCACATGTTCCCCATTCCTCTAGTAAAGATTATTTGGTACATTATTTTCAGAAGTATGTCTTAGCTATGGCACTCGAAAGATCAGTAGCTGAAACTTGACGTCACTTCATGCAGCTCCACAAAAGCCTTTATGCTATGAAGTTTACTGTATATTTATAGCTGGGAGGAGATGATAATAATAACAAAAGGTGTATTTTGGAAAATTCTAGTGTTAAGAAATCACCCTCTACTATTAGCCCAAGAGCTAAGTTCTTGTTTCTCCTGTTCTTCTCTCCTGAGAGGTGGGCACTGGCTTCATAATAAGAAGCTGTCTGGCTATTGCCCCACATATGGGATGCCAAGCTGCAAAAATGTCAGACATAGCAAGGGTATATTAGATGTCTCCATTCAGTAACTTGAACAATCAGTTTGAATATGTAGTTGCCAGAATCCCACTGGTGTTCACATTAGATTTGTATAACTTGTTACAGTTAATTGAGGCTAATTGAAGAGATGCAATTGGATCAATGATGAGGAGCCTGATCTAGACATGCCCTGGCACCTCATCAATCAGTCGCAAAGCGTGGCAAGTTATGTAAACCTCGTGCAAATATCAATAGGATTCTGGTCTCTACATACATGTATTCTGCAGCCTTGGTACACTGCCTAGACCAATGGAAGTTATGTTGTTGTTGTTTAGTCGTTGTGTCCGACTGTTCAGACCCCAGGCCTGCCTGTCTTCCACTGCCTTCCGGAGTTGGGTCAAATTCATGTTGGTCGCTTCAATGACACTGTCCAACCATCTTGTTCTCTATTGTCCCCATCTCCTCTTGCCTTCACACTTTCCCAACATTAGGGTCTTTTCCAGGGAGTCTTCTCATCAGAAGAAGTTATAGCGAAACTAAATGTACAAGCTCCTACTTTGTCCACCCTTGTTTTGAATGAAACTTCAAAAGCAGGTGCAGTTCAGAGTGGTGAAGGCTATGTGTGCTGTCGATGTTGCTGAACAAATGTGAGCTTATTTTATACTTAAGGAACCCTTTGCACCATAGACTGAAAAGTACAGTAAATTTGTGTCAAGGTTTAGAGAGGACATTCTGTCCTGAACCGTCTGTCGATAGAAAAAAGCATACTGGCCAGCATCCTATTGTGTAGCACCACCTGCACAATTGGGATTATGTCATTGGCAGAGTTGAATTACCATTAATCAAAAAGTCCTTTTTCAATTCTGAAGTGCATGTGATTAATTCACAATGATAAAGTCACATGAATCCTACTGAATAATTTTAAAAAGAACTATTTAATTTGTAGCAATCTGCAGCCGATAGTGACATCACCCTGTTGTGCAGTCAGATCTTTGCAACAGGATAGTGAGTGCTATTTCTGGCACTGTTCACTATAACTGATTCTGGTCCTGCCAATTTAGAGTGTCTGTTAATAAAATACAAAAACAAAATAGACCATAAAATGACACAAAATACTTAAAAACCCTGTAAACAAATCTCCAAACCGACCAGCAGTTAGCACTAAAATAAAATAGTACATGAAAAATATTTCCATCTATAAAAAGCATAAGGCATTTTACACTGGGGAAAAAAAAATGAGACAAAAGGGGAATGTCAAAACAACCCGTAAGGCACTCAGAGTGGTCGTCTCAGGTGATTGTAGGTGCTGCTTGTGGCTCAGGAGGCTGCTTGCACGTAGGACCATAATTGTGATATTCATTCTTTGTCCTTGGTGAGTTCTGTAATTTCATCCACATCTTCCACATCCTTTCCCATTTTTTGATATTTGCTCTTGAAGAAACCAAGCTGTGAAAAAGTTTTGAAAAGTTTAAAAATAGATGAATGACTATTCATACATATGTTTGTGTGTATATGCATATACGTATCTATGCATTAAGGTGAGTTCACATATTTAGTAGCTGTAAGTACTAATGAATATGCTGTTGTATATACATGCAACATCATATGTTAGTGCTTACAGTGATTAAATGTGTGAACTCACCCCTTAATGTAGAGATATGTTCATAGTATATGCCTGCAAAGCAAGCTGGATAGCACAGTGGCTTAGGTACAGTATCTGGCTGCAGAGCCAAGGTTGGGAGTTGGATTCCCCACTGTGCCTCCTATGAGTACAGCCAGCCTGTGTGGCTTTGGGGAATCTTCATAGTCCCAGAGTGCCCCTAGAAGACGGGATTGGTAAACCACTTTACCTGGAAAACCTCAAAATGGGTCACCATAAGTCAGAATTCATTTGATGACACATGATTATTTTATATGCATGCAATGGCAGTGTTTAGATACAGTGCTAAACTACATTTCTGGATGCAATTCTGAAAAGTATTAAACTTCCCTTGCCCATAAGGAGATAGGAAGTTTTGACTTCAATTTTCAAAAGAGCCGAAGTTTGGTATTTGCAAACTATGGTCAATCTTTACTATAATTTAGGAGGAAAGGTTATATGATACTATGGGAGCTGGAGCTGGCTTGTCTCTCTAAGGTATAGGGAGTATAAAGTATAAGCCATAGTTAAGACTAAATACAATTTTGGCTTTGGACATAAAATTAAAAAAAGTGTTGGTTAAAATGGAAGCAAAAACTTTCCAATCTCACTATGGGCATACAAGAGAAGGCAAAAGGTGCAGTGCCCATTGTAGATCAGCTATCTCATTATATGGCCCTATAAGACACAGGTGCCAGTAAGAATCATGTCTCAAATCACAAGTCTATTATAATCTAAAAGAGAAAGGGAAGATGCAAATGAAGAATATACAAAGCATTAGATTACAACATACCCATACTGTGCTGCAAAAAGTTTGTTCAAGATTTATTTGAGTGTTTCAAAGATATTGATTACATATGCAGGGAGAAAGAAATCATTTAATTAACTTTCAAAAACTGTCAAGAGTTTACTTACTTTCCACAAGGCAGCAACCAGCGCCACTAGCAAGAGAAGACCCACCAACACACTTCCTATCACAATTCCAATGGGTACTTCTGCTTTTTCATCAGGTTTTATTATTGTGATTGGAATCTGGGGGAAAAGACAATGGAAGACATTACAGAAGTTAAGTAATACCTTTTGAAAAATTGACTAAAATTGTACAATTGCACAGTGGTAAATCTGGCAAAATTAAGAATATTGAAAGATACAGTTGAGTGTTTCAAAATTGTTTAAAAGTATGCTATTTATCATCCCCCACTTCTCATTTTTAAAAACATGTGCAGTGCTTTGGAAATACTTCTTCCACAGGATGAAGCATTTCTGACATTTCATTTCCCATGTTAGTAAATGTAGTCTATCAAATCCTCAAATCTTGGGTCGAATCTTAACAAGAACAGATACTCAAAACATACTTATAGTGAAATATTGCCTTGCACTGAGAAACTTAATAGAAATATTTGGCAGTGCTTTTAATAAATTACTTATTTTAGTTAATTAGGATCATTTAGTGACTTTTAATTCATCAAGGGCTGAACACTATTAAAACAGTGATGTAAGCAGATCCCAATGAGTTTTAATATTTACCCACAACTTCAATAGCTTTAATCATTTTAGCTTATCTGTTTTGCTGAGGCTGTAACCAGCAAGAGAGCTTAGCCACATAAAGAGCTAAGCCACAGCCAGAAGAAGAGCAGCAGTTCATAGTAGCAACAGCGCAAGCATTGCCTAGGGTGACTCTTATTTTAAATTCCCTGCTTGAAGTGACACTTTTGGCCCAAAACAGATAAAGATGAGCACAGAGTGCAAGAGGTGTATGTATGAGAGAGAACACCACTCCCCCGCACCTTATTTTCATAGATAAGAATAGTCAAACACCTGCACTTGAAATGCTGGTACAAGAGGCCTAATTGGTTAATAACTATAGGACCCAATAATTTAATTAACTTTAGTGGCTAAAGATTTTAATTTATTGATTAATATATTAATTCGCTCATTCATTTTAAGCAGGGGAGAGGGAATCAGAGAAGAGTCTACAGCTTCAGCTTGAAAAAGTGAAGTGAAAAAGTAACTCCAGTTGTACAGGAAAAGCTGTGGTAAAGAAATGACTAAGAGTACTACCACAATGACTTAGGATTTCCACTTTTAACCATGGTTCTTGATTCTAAGTGAATGGTGAGGCAGAGGATGCAACTATTCGGTAGTGCAGAAAAACATTCCATAAATATTCAGAGATACTTAAAATATTTCTGATATTGCTACTGTACTTCAATACTGTATCAAGTCAGCATCCTCTAACTAGAATAAAGACCTCATTCTTAACCTTTTTCAATCCAGACAAAGACTCCACCTGTGCGGGGGTATTTGTATTCGTATATGAATATGAATACCCCCATCTCTAGTCTGAAAGTGGCTTTACACAGGACCACAAAAAGATCAGCATAGATGGGACCATAGGAAAGAAGTATTAGCAGAAGTGGGACAATAAAGAAGAGGGACTGTGGTCTGGAATGGAAGTTGCATCGCAACAAGTATGAAGGATGAATTCATATCCTTAAGAGATATTAAGAAATAAACCATTATTTCAGGAGAAACAAAATGGAAAGGAAAGTCACGGACCAAAACAATGTATAAGACAGACAGGAAGAATGTTGTACAGATGGTGGGAAAAATACTAGTAACATCAGCGAATAACATGATACATGAAAAAAAATTAGAGCCCTTGCATGAAGCGTTCATGACAGCACTTCATAAACAAAACTGATAATTTTTTGCAGCAATTTTAAAACTCCCAATATAGTTTATGCATGTCATCATAACAATGTTACATTTTAATAATAGGGAAAAATGTAGTCCAGTGTTGAGCCATGCATTTTGAAATGGTTGTACAAGCAACCTTTTTTTACATAATGAGTCTGAAAGCATTAAAGACACTTACTGATAAATAATTATCTCCAGTTGCAAACAGATCTGTGTTCTGTGTATCAATTTCCGCACTTGCAGACAGCTGTAACGTCTGGAAGTGTGACTGCAACAGAAAAACATAGGGCATGAAAACTTAAAAATGTATGACTTTCATCCAGTTTACACAAATATTTAGGGCTTTTAATCCATTTAAAAGAAACAACACGGTGATTGGAAAAATAGGGAAAACGAAGAGTTTGTCCAACCGGTTTTTATATCTTTTTATGAACCTTTAGGATGTAGTACTAAAGACTACCAGGGGCAGTGCTATCTCAAAGACCAGCCAGCATTAGATTAGGAATAGGTAAAAGCCTCTTTTACCAGCAGAAATGCCCATCTGTTTGCTGAACCCTCTTCTGTCACTTGATCACAGATACCTTCTGACAGAGTGACCAGCTATTCTACTGGCTACAATCGGTTAGCAGAAGAGACAATGTGGGGGGAAAGAAGCAGAGTGAGACATGTTACAGTGGTGCCTTGCTTGACGATTATCTCGTTAGATAAGGAAATCGCTTGACGATTAGTTTTTTTGCGATCACTATTGCGATCGCTAAACGATGACTGAATTGGCTTTTTTCACTTAATGTTAATCAGTTCCCTTCTTCGGGAACTGATTTTCCGCTTAACGATGATCAAAAACAGCTGATCGTCGGGTTTCAAAATGGCCACCCGCTGTGCAAAATGGCTCCCCGCTGTGCTTTAGGACGGATTCCTCACATTACAGGCACCTGAAAATGGCCACCCTATGGAAGATCTTTGCTGGACACAGGTATTTCGCCCATTGGAACGCATTGAACCAGTTTTCAATGCATTTCAATGGGCTTTTTTGTTTCGCTTGACGAGGATTTCGCTTAACAGCGATTTGAATGGAACGAATTGTCCTCATCAAGTGAGGCACCACTGTATATCAAATCAGGGATAGAACTATAATACAAAACTAGGCCACGATAAGGGTAGTCCTAAGTAATTTCCAGCATTCCTAGGCTAGGAAGAATCTGGATACAGCACTGATGCAACTGGTCTATTTTTGGAGCCCTTAGTTGTGTTGGAGAGTTCTGATTGCGATGTAGGGATAGAAAAGTCTCACTGGGTATTTTGGGGTTTATTTATGCATAAGCATGCAGAGGTTTGCATTGTTAGGAGGATTATTTTGAGATCTATGCTCAGTCTTTCCCAACTTTAAATTTTCAGTCCTATAAACCAGTGGTCCCCAACCTTTTCTGAGTTGTGGACTGGTTAGGGTTGGTAGGGTCTGTGCGTGGGGAGGGGCAACCCCTGCACTAGTGGGTGTGCTTGCAGAGGGGCGGAGCATGCTCATGTGTATGTGCAAAGGGGTGGAGCACACTCGTGAAGGACAGAGGCATGCTCACATGCATGCACAAAGAGGTGGGCTGCACTTGAAGAGGGGAGGGGTGTGCTTCCTGGTGGGAGGGGCACCCATGTGTGCAAGTGGTGAGCTGTGCATGCAAGCGGGGTGGGTTGGTGCAGTATGTGTGTGTGTGGGATTTGTCTCTGCAGCCCGGTTCTGCCATGGCCCTGGACCACCACTGGGCCACAGACCGTGGGTTGGGGACCCCTGCTATAAACAACTATCTGGCAAAACGTTTAGCCTCATATATTCATAACAATACAGAATATCCACGCTATGATAACTCATTAAAACACAGACATTACTTACAGCGGCAAATGTCCCATTCCAGATTCTGGTAGAAACATTAACATAATACTCGGCTTTCAGCATGTCTTTTAACTTGCATGTAATTGTGTCACATTGGACATTCTTACAGTTCTTTAAGATAAAGGAAAAGTTTGATTACCGAGTCTTGCTACTAAAATATTATTATTTTCAAATCTGGCAGTGTAATAACATCATTAAAACATTGTGCATTGTTCCATATACCTCTCAAAATAGAAGACATTTATAGCAGGGAATTTTTATAGACCTGGCTTTTTGTCCAAATCCAACTCTAACTCCACATACGAATGATCATATTTCCTATTGCTGGTTCCAATTAGAGTAGATCCAATAAATCAATGAGATTTAGAAAAGAACTGACTGACCATTCAGCAATTGATGCAGTAGTTATAATTCTGCTCAGTATAGCAACTAGATTTGATAGACTATTGGAAAAGAGAGATTGGCTATTTGATAGACTATTGGAAAAGAGAGTTGGAAAAGAGAGATCTATTGTGGCATTGTTAATGTGCCCTAAATCCTACAGAGACGTTTTGGTGGCAATCCAAAACAAGCACTTTTATGCAAGCACTGACCCTGCTGTACAATTACATTCCCAGGGAAGTTAGTTTGGCTACCTCGATATCCACTTTCAGATGAGTGAGTAAAAAGCATATCCTTTTATTAAATTCATTATATTTCTTGGAGACTAACATTGCCCTTTGTTACACATGACAGCCTGGTTCCTTTTGAAACTCCACTTAGTGGAAGGCCCCACAAGCAGAATTATGCAAGATCTCATCATTGGTGCAAGCACTGCTGTTGCACAAGCAATGCTTCCCACTGAGCAAACCAAACTTGTGTTTTCACAAGTATTCAATGTCTCTTCGTGCAAGTGGTTTCAATTGTTCCTGCTTCAGTCCCGGATCCTAGTCTATGTTTTTAGACATTGATTTAAGACATGAATACATATGTAGAAATGACAAAAGGGAATAGAACAAATACCGTAAGTGGTTTAAAATACACTTACTACAGACACACATGCACACACACGCAAAAGCCATGCATTTCTGAATTTACACTCGATTGAATATATCCTTGAGGCAATTTACAGTAAAATCATAAAAACAATAAAATACAAACGTTGCACAGGAAATATAGGCTTGCAATCTCATTTTTATCCTAGATCATTAGGTGTCAGACAGTAAGAGAGACACGCGCCAGAAATGACATGTTTCAGTCACCTATAATTGCAGGAAACAACTCAAGAGCCCTGATCCCAAACACTTTTACATTGTTCAGACCTTTTAGGTGAGGCGTTCCTTATGTTTTTTTTAGTCTCATGATTCAAACTTTAGTAACCCTGTTGTTGCAGATTCTATACCAAACAGATGTGCAGAATATTAACTAAATTCCTTTGTCTTGTCAATTAGGCTATAAGTGGGTAATCTTTCAGCCTATAAAGTGGCAAGTCATAACCAACAACATAGAAGCCAAGATTTCAGATATTGCACTCTTACGTTCAACTCACCAATTCTTTGAAAGACTTGAAGTTTTCTTTTCTAAATGACGCTGCATAGCCTTGTTGTCCTATTTTATATGGATTGATCTGTGCAGCACAGCTGATATCACCATCCTAGAAAGAGCAGGCAATATTATGCATGAAGAAGAAGATAATGATTTTATTCCATTGCCTTGCATTTGCTAGTCCCTGTTTGCTGTACTACTAATGCTAAAAATATTACAGAAAACTTCATAGAAAAATGGACAAATCTTGCTGAATGCTGGAGCTAAAATAGCAAAGTAAGGAGCTTTCAGGAGGAGCAGGACCAGGATAGCAGCCAAATCTTCCTGCAAAATCCTTGTACTGTTCCTGTAAACCAAGGTGGCTAAACAGTCATTCCCAAACTTTATGCTCTGCTTCCCCTTATATTAGGGGTGGGGAACAAGTGGCCTGTGGTTAGTCTCCTCAAATAATTAGCATCTAGTTGACCAAGAGAAAGGTCAGCTGACATCCTGTAGAAGGCCAGGGGAGATGCCACACAATTTTTGATGGTCCACCACGGCTCTGAAGCACAATATCTCAAAATATTTTTAAATATTCCTATTATAATTCAAATATATCTTTTTCACCTGATTAGTGTGCACTGCAGTCACATACATCAATAGATTGTTCCCCTCAGTGTGGTTTGGAATATGGATTTTTAAAGATGCCATGTTTACTAGGATACTTCCTCTTGTCACCTGGAAAATAAACAATTTATATAGAGAAACACTGGAGAAAAAAATTGCTATGTTGCAGTTCTCATTGTTAATGTAGAAAAGGATATGTTGACAATATTTATTCAAGGCTTACAAATCACAGAATAATGGCTGGGAACAGATCTTGCCCCTCCTCTGTAAGACAATTTTTCAAGTACGTATTTGAAAAATGCTATCATATCTACTTTCAGTTTTCTTTTCTCAAGGCTAACATGTCCCATTCTTTCAGTCTTTTCTCATAAGGCTTGGTTTCCAGCCCCCTGATCATCCTTGTTACCCTCCTCTGAACTAGTTCCAATTTGTTGGCATTGTTCTTGAAGTGTGGTGTCTAAAACTGAGCACAGTAATAAGGGCATCAAGCCCAATCCCCTCCTCAGTGTAGGAATACAAATCAAAAGATACAGTATCGCCAGGTGGTTGTCTAAATTTCTCTTGAATGCCTCCAGTGTTGGAGAACTCAGCACCTCTTGAGGTATATGGTTCCATTGCTGTACTGCTCTAACAAGACGTTTTTCCTCATATTCAACTGAAATCTGACTTCCAATAAAATGAACCCCTTATTGTGTGTCCTGCATTCTGGGATGGCCGGGAACAGATCTTGCCCCTCATCTGTATGACAGTTTTCCAAGTATTTGAAAAATGCTATCATATCTACCTTCACTCTTCTTTTCTCAAGGCTAACATGTCCCATTCTTTCAATCTTTCCTCATAAGGCTTGGTTTCCAGCCCCCTGATCATCCTTGTTGCCCTCTTCTGAACTAGTTCCAATTTGTTGGCATTGTTCTTGAAGTGTGGTGTCCAAACCTGGGCACAGTACTCAAGACGAGACATAACCAGAGCTGAATAGTGGGGAACTAGTACACATGGGAATTGGAGACTATACTTCTGCCAATGCAATCTAAAATAGCATTAGCCTTTTTTGTCACCACATCACACTTTTGGCTCATATTCAGCTTCTGATCTACAATGACTCCAAGATCCTCCTCGCTTGTAGTATTGCTGAGCCAGGTATCCCCCATCCTGTAACTGTGTTTGATTTCTTTTTCCTAGATGCAGTACTTTGCACTTATCCCTGTTGAATTTCATTCTGTTGTTTTCAGCCCAGTCATAATAAATCTGATAATCTTTAAAGTGCTATAGAGTCCTTAGTTATCTTTTAAAAATTTGGTAGTTCCTGTCTTCCAGGGTGTTAGTTATCATGGAACATATCTAGTAAAACTCCCATGTTTCACATCCATGAATGAAATGACAGCTGCTTATGCATTGAATACACATTTTGTGGTCCTCGAAATCCAGTTTTTACTGACATGAGATAGATGTCACTTAATGTGACCATTTGACAATTGGACTATTGACAATATGATTAAAACACTGGATTTCTTGAGAACCCAGTGTTTTTACTGTTGGAAGAACTGCAGTCTAACTTTCTACCAAATTTTAAAAAGGTAACTAGGAACTCTATAGCACTTTAAAGATTATCAGATTTCAAGACGAGACATAACCAGAGCTGAATAGTGGGGAACTAGTACACATGGGAATTGGAGACTATACTTCTGCCAATGCAATCTAAAATAGCATTAGCCTTTTTTGTCACCACATCACACTTTTGGCTCATATTCAGCTTCTGATCTACAATGACTCCAAGATCCTCCTCGCTTGTAGTATTGCTGAGCCAGGTATCCCCCCATCTTGTAACTATGTGTTTGATTTCTTTTCCTAGATACAGTACTTTGCACTTGTTTTCAGCCCAGTGATAATAAATCTGATAATCTTTAAAGTGCTATAGAGTCCTTAGTTATCTTTTCAAAATTTGGTAGTTCCTGTCTTCCAGGGTGTTAGTTATCATGGAACATATCTAGTAAAACTCCCATGTTTCACATCCATGAATGAAATGACAGCTGCTTATGCATTGAATACACATTTTGTGGTCGTGGAAATCCAGTTTTTACTGACATAAGGAGAGAGATGTCACTTAATGTGACCGTTGGACAACTGGATTATTGGCAATATGATTAAAACTCTGGGTTTCTTGAGAACCCAGTGTTTTTAGTGTTGGAAGAACTGCAGTCTAACTTTCTGGAAGAACTACCAAATTTTTAAAAAATAACTAGGAACTTATAGCACTTTAAAGATTACCAGATTTACTATCACATGAGCTTCTGTATATAATATTATGGCTCATAATATAATAAATAAGTCACACTGTTATTAGAAGACTCTTAGTATTTTACTGCAATACAATGATCTAGTTACCTCTTTTGCAAATTTTGCTAGTGTTCAAAAGTCTTATTTCTATGACAGTGTGAAATGATAATGTATTGTTGGACAAGTTTTCCAATATACTCAACATTGACAGCAGATATAGATAGGGAATAGTGTGGGCAGCTTCAGTAGTAAAGCAAAGCAGACATGGTTGGGGCCATAAGCTTCATTAGCCTCAGTTGCCACCTTCTGAGTGCAACACAGTGAAATATTTTGATCATCACGTGTGTCAACCTTAACAGCAAAGATGAGAGCTGCTGAGACATAAGATTATAATCATGCAACAGAAATCCTACTGAGTTTTAACAAATAAACACAAAGCAAGGATAGCCCATCTAGAGCTAGTGGGCTAAGTTTGACCTGGTCCTCATTGCACAAATCCTGGTCCTCCCTGGTCCTCATTGCACAATGCTTTCTGCACAGAGCTATCTGTAAACTGCATCAGAGGCTAAATTTTCTCAGAATCCTGGAATCTTGTATATACTATTCCTGACATTGCCTCTGAAAGTCCTTACTTACATAAGTTTTAGAAACAAAAAAGCTGAACTTTTAGAAGATGGTGGGAATGTTCACTAACCTTAACAGAAAAATTGAATTCAGGTCCAATGTCATCAAAACTGTTCACCATGGAAGGAACTTTATGATCAGAATAAACTTCATAGAAATTCATACTGGTAAACCTGAGCAGAAAGAAAACCAGTGTATATTTAAGCATTTTGTCCTCTAAAAATCTTAGTATGTGGAGATGCTTTTTTTCACCAGCATTCCAATCTAATTCATTATGTAAACACTGACAGAATTACTACAATAACTGCTGGCTAATTTAGAAGTACCTTGTTAAATGAAGGTCTGCATCATAACGAAGAGGAACTGTTAAGTTGACTTGATTGTTTGTATTATCCGCTTCGTTGCTGGCACTAAAACACAGTAAGAGTGGAACATTTTAGAAAGTTTTTAATGGAATAAATGTATTCATAAACATATCGTAATACTGTTCATTTTCTAGGAGCACTTTTGTCCAAAAGCAGTGTGTTGGTAATAGGACAAACAAGTTGAAAATTCAGTTTGAAACAGAAGGTCTGATGGGTTGGAAAAGCTCCTGACTTGGAATAGTGATATGGATCTGGATGGGGTTCAGTTCCCCCTTTGGGAATGAAGATCTACCTAGAGAAAGTAGAGTTTGCTTCTGTTTCGTGTGTCTTGGTTATATTAGTCCAGGCTGTTAGATGGTTTGCCATGTGTGGGCTGCCCTTAAAGACAGTGAAGAAATTTCAGTCGCTGCAAAATGGGGCAGAAAGAATGCTTCTCAAAGCTCAGCATTCTGACTGCATTATGCATTTTCTGCATTAGTTATCTTGGCTGTCTATTCATTTCCCCATTCAGTTTTAAATGCTGGCTTTCGGCTTACTCCCTGTCCTCCCTATCCACCTTTTTATATTACATCTTGTTAGGTAGTAAGTCCACTGTGAAACACCCTCTCCAGGAAAATGTTTATGGTTCCTCTCTATTAACCTTTAGCTGATCCCTGAATACCCTCCACCCACCCACCCCAGGTCAGGTTTTAGATGATCACAGAGATTTTTTTTACAAACTTTGTACGTGCTGTTTTTTATTTAAATGTGATACTATAGGATTGCTAGGGTTTTGTTAATTTGTAATTGGAATTGAAAGCAGACTAGTGCAGTGTGTTCAAATCCACAAAATAAAAATCGATCAAATAAGTAAATGGTTGCTATCAACTGCAAGGAGTTATGTTTGGATGTTGTTGCTTTTTTGAAACATTATACTGTACCTCAAAGCTTGAAAACTCAATAGTGCCAGATTCTGAAGATTTTTCAAATTAATGTCAAAATTAATGTCAAAAGCTACCTATGCAAAACAGATGAAAGATGAAATTAGAACAAGCAAAGTCATTTTCACTAATAATTAGAACTATTTTAGTACATTATGTTAAATATATATTCTATAATATTTATTCCTATGCTTTATCCTCTCTATTCATCTTTGCCCTCTTTATTTCCTCTACATTACAAAGACCTATGGCAGTGTTCATACTGCTTCCTCCCCACAGCATGTAGGGACACTGAATATGTTAGAGAAGTCTGAAATGTGACTGGACTGTAGCATAACTTCACTTAATTTCTCTGTATACAAACCTCCCTGCAAGTGCATGATGGTTATGAGCAAAATCTAGTTGTGGTCCCAACTGAAGCAGACCTACAGAAACTTTGAGACTTGGGTTTAACAAGTCCCCGTCTTTATCTCTTGGGTGGCTTTTTCTTTTAAACTTCTTAAAGGCATTTATGTACATCTTTTATTTCAATGAGCTTATAGCTGAAAGAGAGAAACACTGAATCTCTCAGTAAGTTTCTTGTTGTGCACCTAGCCCTATCTATGTCTTTTCCCCTAAGCAACATCCTTGTTTAGCCACCAATAACTTTTTAATGGGAATTAAATTGGACAAAATCACAGGCTGGGTTGGGAGACTTTCAGCAAAACCACAATATTCATGTTAGAAGTTGAATACAATGATTGTCACAACATGCCTAGTGACTTTAAGGGTACCTGCTGTCCTTGTTTAAAAACAGGATAGCTGATCTGGCAGATAACAAATTGTTGGGCAGGGGTCATTTGACAAGAAACATCAGTTCCATCGACCTGAAAGATTAGAAGATGACATTTATTGCTATACAGTAGTATTACAATGGTGCAAAAATATACTGTAGCATACAATTAAGGAATTATACATGTTGGCGGGAGCCTAGTCACTACAGGGATGGAACAAAAGGTGTCGAACACTTCAAAGCACTGGGTGGCACAAGCTCACATATGAACAACCATATTTGGGCTTCTCAGAGCTACTGTACAGCAACAGTGAGCCGTAGACAGTGTTGCTATTTAGGAATTACCTTCAAAGCAGTGAAGAGGTGGTGTATTACTCAGACAAGCTAAAAGGTTTGGACACATGTCTGAAAGTATCATTCTTCTCAAAATAATTACTATCTTGAGTAAGCATCAATGTAGCAAAAATACAACAGTAAAAATGGAAATGAAGACTAAACATACAGGCGAAGAAGATGAAGCGAAAAACAAGTTTTCAGAAAAAGCAATTTGAATTCTGGTGTTGTATGCATTTTCATTCTTGTTTCTCAATCTCACACCGAATATCAATCTTTTGTTCTTAGTGCTGACAATAAAAGGTTGTTTGCTGTTAGGAAGGAGAAAAAAAAAGAGAAAAGAACAGGAACATATGGTTAATAAGTTACATGGATGTACTCTAGTCCATTGCAAGGAATGTATATGTACTGAAAACATCCAATATGGGCACAATTCAACATGCAGTCAAGGATCTTTGAAACTTAAGGAAATCTAAGAACATTTTCTCTCAGCAGGATGGTAAAGCAAACCATTTTCATCTGAAAATCTGACATGCAAATTGGTATCTCATATATTTCAAAGAAGCATGCATTCAAAAGTAGTATGTGCTATTATTCATTGTCTTGCTGCTCATGAACTGTTGAACATATGAACTGTTACTTCATTAATATTTTATAATATTGTTTCAATGCACAAGCTTTGTTTAAAAAAGCAAATATGTTACAAGATAACCTTTTAATTTGGTGTATTAAATTTTCCAACAGAAGTATATGCCTCTGTGGAACAGCTAGGAAGAAAGCCTTGTCTCTTACCCATTATGTGTTTTTTGCTGAACTTCAAGTACAAGATCGCTACTGCAAACCTCATCCCCACCACAATCTTTAATAAACGGTATCTACAAACAACAACAACAACCATAAATCATCTTTTTAACGTGATTATTTATATCATTCGTAGTGGTCAGAAAAAGGACACATGTGGAAGTAAGCTAATAAGTGCACCATGGTTAACTCTCCTGTAAAAAGAACAATGATGTTCTCTGAGCTGTAGAAATTGTACTAATAAAATTCACTTCCTTTTGCCTGTTTTTCATTGTTTTTGCTGCCATGCGGAGGGCAAGTTGCAACACAAGGTACTGACATCTAACTTCTGATCCCTGGATAGTACCCAACCTCCTCTTTCTGATACAACTTTTAATGCCACATCAGGTAATGCCCACATGCTTTCCACCTTAATTAATTAAGAGTTAAATGCCATCAAATTGATTCTGACTTATAGTGACCCTTTCCAGGATTTTCTAGCTATAGAGGGCTCAGAACTGCCCTACCACTCCCTTCTTTTGTGAGTAGATTTGGGACTGTGCAATATGCCCAAGGCTACACAGGCTGGCTCTTTTCCATGGAGGCATAGTGAGGAGTCAAACAGCCAATCTGGTTCTGCAGCCAGATAATTAACTCACTGAACTTTACAGCCAGCTTTTTCAACTGTGCCTTAACTGTTAAATTGATATCAAAACTCTCAGGAACTGTGATCTGCAAGCTCCCCATGACTTATTTTGGAATGAATTTGGAATAAGCTGATTTAGCATCATACAGTATTACTGCTGACTTCTGAGCCAATGTGAATCTCCCAATGAGCTGTATTTATATATTTATAATATATTTCTATCCCAACTTGTATCTGAGGTTCTCAGGTATCATACCAAAATTTAAAGCAATTAATTCATCAGAATCAGAATAAAATCCATAATCAAACAGACCAAAACCAATAACCCCCGCTCCAAATTTAGGTTAATAGCAACATTTTAACTTGGTACCACAATGAGGTCAATGTCAGTGATAGCTGAGCCTATAAATGGAAACAGTTCCATCACTAAAGCATCACAGCCTTCTGCCATGTCTCCAAATAATGTGCAGCTCCTAACAAAGGAAAAACAATGGGTATATGCTAAGGAGGATGGCCCTCCTTTGCATATCTTCATAGTTGAATGGGTATATCTAAGGATATCAGTGTCAATGAAATATTGAAATCTGCATTGATTTCGATAGGGAGGTCTAAAAAAAATCTGCTGTGGCAGGAGGACACACAGGAACCTATGCAGCCAAGATTCTTTGCCCATGGTGGGCTCCTATTGCACCCGTGTAATCAGTCATTCTGACCTGGCTGGGTGATAAGCTGGGTAAGTGTCTTTAATGGTGGGCTCTTATTGAACCCATGCAATCAGCCATTCTGACCTGGCTGGGTGATAAGCTGGGAAGCGTTCTCAGTCTCAATTTTTCAATGTGAGGTAGAAACCCTGGGGGAAATGGGGGTAGGTGACTTTAAACAGTTGCCTCTAGGTTGACTCTCTGAAACTTGCTTCTGTGTTGCAACTCGACGAGCATCACCTTCATACCTACTTAGGAAGCTAGTTTCTGTCTTTGTTACCACATTTTACACTTGTTTTGCAGAGCTTGGAGAAGTTCTTTTTTGGGGGCTACAACTCCCAGAATCCTCTGCTGGCCATGCTGTCTAGTGGACTCTGGGAATTGTAGTCCACAAAAAGAATTTCTCTGGGCTCTATTTGCATGGTCTATTCATGGAACTCAGAGATTTGTTCACCCATTGCTACCAAAACAGTGTTCCTCTATTATAACACCATGTTTTCCTGTCCCTATGGTGGCACTCACTTTACGTGCCAACTTATTGTTTGCACAATAGAATGAATGCATGTTAACAGACTCACAGTATAAATAACAGTTGCAGAAGTCTTATTAAGAACAGGACTTGAACCAGGATGTCTGAGCATGGTATCCACACGTACACTAATGGAGTCAACAGCATCAGAAGGTTCCTATAAACAAGCACAAACACACACAAATCCTGAATTGCCAATGACTGACAACTATTGTTATGTCTTATTTTATCAATCACCCCCACCCCCCGGCCAGCAAATAGGAGGTAAAAGGATTCTGGCCTAATCTTTTCTCTTATATGCTTGCTTTCTGGAAACATTCAAAGTACAACTTGTGCAGTTCCAGATTTCCACCATTCCACCATAATCCAGCCTTGCTTCACACACAGTTGCAATACACCGATTTGGGTGAGAGAAGGCTGATGAGTGCGATAATACATAAATTGAAAACCAGGATAAAAAGCAAAATGTGAGAAACTGAATTCAAACTGCATCAATAAGTTTCTGCTCCATAACCAACAGCCTTGGTGGTGGTCACGTAATTCTCCCCAGTTCCCAGGTCTCAGTTCACCCAAATAAATGCCGTTTCAGATCTGTTAAGCAGCAGAAGCACGAGACATATCATTGCCTGAGGCAGGAGGACAAGTGAGACTAGTCCTCCCTCTTCCACTAACAACACACAGAATGAAATGCTTGAGGTGAGCACTTTGCTCTGCTTCATGAAAGGACCAGCCGTGCTGATTGTACTGGTGCTGGGAGCTGAAGTTCAAACATAACTTTCCCAAGTTCTGATTTCAACTTGTGAACTTGAATCCAACCTACAGTATGTACTTCTACAATGTAGTTGCAGGTTTATCACTTTACTGCAGTTTATGAAGAGAAAGACTCACAGACACAGTATCTACTTTAGATGCATTATACATAAAACAGTTGGCAAATGGTTACCTGGACATTAAAAACAAGATTCGTACAGTTTTCCTTGGCACGGACAACAAAATCATTCTGCAGATGCCTCTCGTTGTTTTCTTTAAATAATCCTCTTGAGGTCACTCGAGAGGATAAGAGATCAGCATCCAGTGTCAGGTTGTATCTGATATCTAAAGAAAAAGAATACTACAGATCTTATAAGAGTTTTAACCTTAAGGGTTTGAGGAACCAAAGGACACTCCAGGCATTCAAAAGAAAATGGGACAACCATCTGACAGATTTCTATTGATTTAAATTCCTGTATTGAATGGGGTTGGACTTGATGGCCTTATAAGCCCCTTCCAACTTTATTATTCTATGGTTCTATGACACTAGATACAATGATCAAAGTAAATCTTCATGATTACAAAGGAATTACTTCCAAGCCTTAAATGGCTAGGGCCCAAACTATCTCAAGGACTACATCTCCCATTATGAGCATGCTTGGTCTTAAGATGATGGAGAGGCCTTCCTCTTGGTCCCATCAACTTCACAGGTATGTTTGGTGGGGACATGGGAGAGGGCCTTCTCTGTTGCTGCTCCCACACTCTGCAACTACCTCCTACAGGAGGCTAGGCTGGCCCCATCTCTGCTGTCCTTCCGCAAGCAGGCAAAGACCTTTCACTTTCCCTGAGTGGCAGTCCCCCTGAGTGGGGCGTTTAAATGGATTGTTGTACCTTACTGCTTTGAATGTGTTTTTTAGTATGGTATTTGTTTGACCCTTTTTGGTATTCATATACTCACTGTTCTAAGCTTTAATATTGTCTTTTAATGATGTAAACCACCTTGTGTTCTTTTTAAGAAGAAAGGTGCGTTAAAATATTTTAAATAAATAAATAAAATAAAATAGACATACAGATCATGTTTACTTGATTTGTGCTTTGACCATCCTTGTGAGTTCTAGAAATATACTATGGTACAAAGCAAAGGCTGACAATCTCCCTGGGGTTAAGGGGCTGCACTGGACTTCCCCCACCAGAGCCTACCAGGGACCATTCTGCCATCAAGTTTCTTCTGAAATTACAAGGTGGCTGCCAAAGTTCTTGTCACTGTCATTTGTTGTTATTTAGTCGTTAAGTCATGTTCAACTCTTCGTGACCCATGGACCAGAGCACACCAGGCCTTCATGTCTTCTACTGCCTCCCGGGGTTGGGTAAAATTCATGTTGGTTGCTTCGATGACACTGTCCAACCATCTTGTCCTCTGTCATCCCCTTCTCCTCTTGCCTTCACTCTTTCCCAACATCTGGGGCTTTTCGAGGAAGTATTCTCTCCTCATGAGATGGCCAAAGTATTGGAGCCTCAGCTTTAGGATCTGTCCTTCCAGTGAGCACTCCGGGTTGATTTTCTTCACAACTGATAGGTTTGTTCTCCTTGCAGCCCAGGGGACTCTCAAGAGTCTCCCCCAGCAACACAATTCACTGTCATAGCTCCACCAAAATTTGAAAACAAATCCTTTGGCTCTCTATGGCCCAGAAAGATCCTTCTGCACCATTGAGCTATCCCAGTTAGCGGGTATAATGTTTCCTTTCCTTCAGAAGGGCAGGCTTTGAACACCACCAGATATTTGCTGGTGTGTTTCTGTCAGTGGTTGCAACAAACAAGCCGTGTCAAAATGGTCTTAAAGGATCTTTGTGCACAGGCCACACATTGCCTACTACTGGTACAAAGCAAAGGATGGATGGACAACTCTGCAGTGAGTACCTGCATTATTTGTGCCTTATATTTTAGTATGTAGAAGTATAATCTATTTTGCAATTTTGGTAGCAGCACAGCCCCGCTTTACATGGTTATAATAGCATGCACACAGATTGTTTTAGATGAAAGATTCTCACAACTCATTCTAGTAGGTGATCTCCCACTATCACATAAGTAGTACTTTAAAAAAAAATCATGTAAACTAAAACATTAAGATACTTACCCACTTGATCACTTCCCTTGGGAGGTCTAAAGGTTGCAGTGAAGCAGAGATGGAGAACTACCTCTGTATTCTTGTTTAGTAGGCTGATCTTCTTTGGTGTAGATGACACATTTATAGATAAATCTGCTATACTCTGAGACCTAAAATACAATCAGATTTGCTTGTGATCTCAAGTCACAAAAATGATTTCTTATTTATTTATATTACTTCTATGCTACTTTTCTCCTTATAGGGGACCCAAGGCAGCTCACAGCAGATAAATTAACTGATTTAAAAACATGATATAAATATTTAAAACCAATTAAACATATATTAAAGTTTTTTAAAAAAACAAGCTCAAAAACATTTAAAATCTGTAAGTTCAAAACCAGCATTCCTAACTTATTTGCCTATGGAAGGACAAGAGGAAGGGGTTCAATATGGCTTCTTGACATATTGAATTCCAAAGCCTGGGAGCCGCCACTAAGAAGGCCCTTTCTTGTGTCCTCACACAATGAACTTGGGAAGGTAGTAAAGCCAAGATAAGGGCCTCTCGAGAAGATTCTGAAAGCTCACATGGCTCACATGGGGTAATACAATCCTTCAGTTAGCCAGGACTACATTAATGTTTTTCAGTTGCTTTTATATTTGATTGTTTTAATCTTAATGTATGTTCAATTGTTTTTAAATGTGATATTTATGTAGTGTTTTAAAATTACTTATTTTACCTGTGTGAGCTACCTTGCATCTCCTATGGGGAGAAAGGCAGCATATAAATAATTTAAATAAATAAGTATAATAAGAACTCTATAATATGGAGGGAATGGCTAGAGATAGTATGATACAGAGGAGAGAGGCAGTTTTCAGATACATGGATTACGCCGTATGTTTTATTTCCTTACGATTATCCAACATCACCTTTCACTTTGGTCTTTGGACTTGGGTGTCCATTGTACTAACATGCCAGAAACACACTCCAGGGGTAGTAATTTCAGCACTGAGTGATTGTAACTCTGCTTGAGTAATTTTCTTACATACAACAACAACACTAACAGCAGAGCCTTGTGCAATCTTTTAGATTTACTTTGTGCAAGAAGTGTCGTTGTTTCTTTTGTTACACTGGATCAAACTAATATGGCTACCTCTTTGAAAATATGTTTAACCTATCCAGCGTTATCTTTTCCAAAAAATTTAAATTTCTAAGCTCTAGGGAAGAATTTAAAAAGTGAACTTTAAAAAATAAAATAAAAATCTTTATGACTTAAAAGAATTCCACTACTCACCACAGCTGAATCACCTTTCCACTAGAGCCCACAGATACATCTGTTATTCCATCATCATTTAAATCACTACGGCCATCTATTGATATTCCAAAATGCTGAAGTTTCTGGCCAAATGCAGGGTCTGATCCTAAAATTTTCTGGAAGAAATTGTTTACACCAGACAAGTTGATCTTCCCAACCCAATATTTTCATATACCAATAAAGTTGTCATCATCTGCTTTTATTATTATTTTCTGATTTCCTTACAAAAGCATACACATTTGACAAAGACTTATGTCACAATAAATCTGTTAGCATTTGAACACATCACAGTATTTCTGTTTAATTTTACGTCAAGAAACCAATACAACTATTTTTTTTTCAGAATGTATTGCAGTATTATAATAATTAAATGTAGTCATATTCATGAGATGGCTGGACAGCTCAGTGAATTGAGTAAAATTGGGAGTTTGAAATGATCAGAAAAAGGGAATGGTAAAACATTTCCCAGTAAACTACACCTCGGAAAGGGACACATGAATTGTGCTAGTACAGCACACACATTATTATGGCACATAATTATGGCAGTGGTGGTGACTGGTGATTATTATACTCAATAACTATCATGTTGTGATAAATTATGGAAATATTCACCATTCCTCCCTCCCTCTGATTCCCCCTCTCTTCCCAAGATCTGATTCCCAAAGAGTGGGGGATCCAATGGAAGAGTGTGGGAGGTACCAAAAAGTTTTCTAACCCAGCTTTTTGTTCACGCAGGGTCCACCATTTGCCTATGGGAAGCTTGCAAAAAAGGACATGAGTGTAACTGTGCCCTCTGTATCACATTCCCTGCACATCGCCTCTAATACTGGAGGCGATATATGGCCATCCTGTTAAATACATATTGATGCCACTAACTTTCATGAATTTATCTCATTCCCTTCTATAAGTGTCCAAGTCGGCAGCCATCACTACATCTTGAATCCAACTGTTTAAGAAAAAATATAGGAGATTGGTCTACCAAAAAAAGGCATGAGAATTTTAAAAAAGCTGTGGGATTTGAGATAGTTCTGAATGGATCAGACCAGGACATAACTAAGAAGTCTTTGAGTAATGGTATTTACCTGAGAATACTTTGTTTGTATTGTTCTTTGTTTACCATTGTATATGTAGATTGCACCAGCGTTCTGGTTTTCTAATGGTGCTCCAACTATCACATCGTTAAAGCCATCAAGGTCTATGTCTGAAACTGCAGTAATTGCAGATCCATAACGAGCATTTTCTAAACCTTCAGGCCCTTTTAGAAGTTCTTGTTTGCCCAAAATACCCTTTGAGAAAAAGACAATTGAGAAAAAAAGAGAAGAGTCTCATTTCAGTATTCTGTTCAAACACACCACATTAACATTCTTGTACCTGAATTTCTGTGAAATAGGCACGGGATTTCCTACTTACTACAAAGAAAAAAAGGGGGTGAGGGAACATCTCTGGAAATATTTAATCCCTTGACTGCTTTTGTGCAAATGGAACAAACAAACAAACAAATGATAAAGGAAGTGCTTAAAAACATACCAAAAGATAATTTTTAAAAAACCCAACAACTCCATAAAGATGTTCGTCCAGCCTGCAAAAGGTCAATGAACTCTATCCAGCCACAAGGACCAGGGATCACTGAAAAGTCCAGCTAACGACACCCATCAATCAATCAATCAATCTATCAATCAATCAATCAATCAATCAATCAATCAATCAATCAATCAATCAATCAATCAATCAATCAATCAATTAATTAATTAATTAATTAATATCCCGCCCATCTGAGCGGCAATCACAGTGACAGATCATCTCTCCCCCTTATCACAACAATAGACCTAGGACAACAAAACACGCTGATCACCATAATCAGCCAATCTCCTGAAAAGTACAAAAGCTGATCCTACAGCTATAAACTCTCAACTATCCCACAAACTGCACCAGAGCACAGAGGTCTGACTCCTGTCCTCTGAAGATGCCGGCCACAGAGACTGGCGAAAGGTTAGGAAGAAAAATCTTAAGAATATGGCCAAACAGCCCGAAAAACCTATAACAACAATAGCATCCCAGCCATGAAAGCCTTTGAGAATACAACTCCATAAAGAACTCAGGAATTATTGTTGAAACGGAACTTCTCTGTTTTCCTGTAATTATCAGTAACTACTTCTAGCTATGTAATACAGTGGTGTCTCGCTTAATGATTACCTCATTAAACGACGAATCCGCTTGACGATGAGGTTTTTGCGATCGCTTTTGCAATCGCAAAACGATGTTTTAATGGGCAAAATTCACTTCCCGATGATCAGTTCCCTGCTTTGGGAACCGATTCTTCGCATTACAACAATCAAAACAGCTGATCATTGGGTTTCAAAATGGCCGGCGGCTGTTCAAAATGACTCCCCACTGTGCTTTAGGACGGATTTTTCGCTGCACAGGTATCGGAAAATGGACACCCTATGAGGGATCTTCACTGGACGCTGAGGTATTTCGCCCATTGGAACGCATTGAACCGGTTTTCAATGCATTTCAATGGGCTTTTTTATTTCACTTGATGAGGATTTCGCTTTACAGCGATTTTGCTGGAACGGATTATCCTTGTCAAGCGAGGCACCACTGTATAGCACAGTTTCATCAAGGGAATTATGTGCAACCAAGCAAAACCAGCTGGATGAGAAAACAGCCAGGAAATTGTACTTTGGGCCTTTTGAAAGGGCTTAATGTAGGCAGCCCCAGATATTTTGTACATGTGCTTTGTGGAGGGGACTGAGGAAAGATGATCTATGTGTTATTCCCATATGTCCAAAAATCAACATGGGGACCTCTGTGAAGCCAGTTTTTGTATGATATAGGGTCCTGAAGGGAAGAAGCAAACTGAAGAATCCACCAGAATTGTAGATGTAGTATACTACTATGAGTAGGCTACTGCATCTGAAATACAGTCTTCACTCTTGACCTTCAAAACCAACTGATGTGCACAGCTTAATATGCAAAGGCCAAATATTTAGAAAAATACTGTCTGGGAAACCAAACACATTTTTACTTACATTTTGGACAGAAAACATGTAGACTTTCCCTTCTTCTTTTTTAAAATCATTCATGAACATTGGTGCACCAACCAAGAGCACATCTGTTACTGTGTCTCCATTAATATCCACTGAACATAGCACACTGCCGAAGTAGGAGCCAATCTGAAAGAATGGGACCCTTGTCAGTCCATGCATACAAGTGATAGCCATCCATTATAGAAAGACTTGTGTGAACAGTGCGCAACATTTTGAACATACAACAATAATAATAACCCTCTCCCCCCCGCCAGAATCAAAATCAAGAACACTCAAATGCTAAACTTGCCTGCTCTCCGGTTTGAGTGTGAACAACAATTATATTGCCATGGTCATCGACCCTATAAACTACTACCCGGCCAGTATAGTTGGATCGTGGAGCACCGGCAACGAAATAGAGGGTGCTTTCCATGGAGAGAATAGCAACAGAGTAACCTGAAAGGCAAAGTTGCAGTTATCATGATCCAGTAATTGTACATAGCAGATTCTTTATTGAACAACCTTACAGGTATAATTTTGTGCTCAGGTGCTAAGGGAGAGAAGATCCACAAAAATTACAGCCACAGGTTGCCCTTCATCCAAATCATCCCTAACTGTGGAAGACAGGCAGGGAATACAGAAAACACAGGAAAAGTGTGGCAAAGTGAGAAGACCATTATCCATTTTGCCCTTTCTCTATTCCTGCAGAGCCAATGCAAATATTTCTTAAGTAGTGTAAACTCACTACTTTGAAGTAAATGGGAATTATGTTACTTTGGAATAACTATTGAATCCTCTCCTAAGGGAGAGGAGATCCACAATAATTACAGCCACAGCTTGCCCTCCATCCAAATCATCCCTAACTGTGGAAGACAGGCAGGGAATACAGAAAACACAGGAAAAGTGTGGCAAAGTGAGAAGACCATTATCCATTTTGCCCTTTCTCTATTCCTGCAGAGCCAATGCAATATTTCTTAAGTAGTGTAAACTCACTACTTTGAAGTAAATGGGAATTATGTTACTTTTGAATAACTATTCAATTCATCCCAATGAACTAGCTAGAAGTACCACTCAAGGCTTCCGGGTACTCCACACGGTCTTCAGGATCTGTGGGCAAAACTTCACTGGTACAAGAGCTTAGCTGATGGATCTTTTTCACTGTGATATTTCCAATCTTAGTGGAGGACCTACATGGCTAGTTATATCAGACATCATCACTAGCCAATGACTCAGCATCGTGTATGAGAGAGACAGGCTGTTAAGTTGGATCAGACTTATAGTGGCCCTAATACAGTTTTCAAGGTATGTGAGATATTGAACAAGCAGTTTTACCAGTGCCATTTCGCCACCACGCAACAAAATGAGTTTCTATGGCTGAGCAGTGATTTGAATCCACGTCTCCTGAATCCTAAATCCTAGTCCATCACTCTATTCACTACACCATACAAGAGGTATAGTAAATAGAGGATTGCATAACTAATAGTTATGTGCCATCAAGTCAATTCTGACGTAACAGAAATCCTCCCAGGTTTTTCCAGGTTTAAAGTACTCTGAAGTGGTTTACTGGTGCCTACTTCTGCAGGTGCTCTAGACCAGCGGTCCCCAACCTTTTTGGAACTGCGGACTGCTTGGGAGGGGGCGGGCTCCGTGAGTGGAGGGGCCCTTGTGCACGCGGGTGGGCATGGCACATGCATGATACACCCCTGTGCATGCGCATGACACCCCTTCACAAGCGCGACACGCCCACTGTGCGTGCGTGCGTGTGAGGGAGCTGTCTCCGCGGCCCAGTCCTGGGAAGCTCACAGACTGAGGGGGCGGGTTCCATGAGTGGGGGGGCCCTTGTGCACGCGGGTGGGCATGTCGTGCTTGCAGGTGGGCATGGCACACGCGTGATACACCCCTGCGCATGCGCATGACACCCCCCCACAAGCGCAACACGCCCACTGTGCGTGCGTGGGGGGGAGGAGCTCTGTCTCTGCGGCCCAGTCCTGGGAAGCTCACAGACTGGCACCGGGCCGTGGACTGGGAGTTGGGGACCCCTGCTCTAGACCATGCAGCTTGCCCAAAGCTGCAGTGGTAACAGGGCACATAAAACCATCAACCATGTAACTTGCCCAAAGCTACAGTGGTAACAGGGCACATAAAACCATCAGCCACACATGCTCTGTATGATCTCGGCTGGCACTTCTCCGACGAGGCCCAGTTGTCACTCTGTTCCTGATTTCAAACCACTGAGCTATACTAGCTCAACATGATAAACTAAAAATAAACCCATTCTGGTTCCTTTTTCTCAAGAAGTTTTTGACTTATTATGTAAAAAAAGAAGAAGAGGGTTCTAGTTTCATTGATTCGTGTCTCTGTTTATTACATTTATATTAAAAAAATCTCTCAGTAAGTGGCTCTAAACACAATACAATTTGAATAATATAACAAAATAACAACTTAGAGTAAAACAACCCTGATATAAAGGTTTTCAGAGACTATAAAAGCAGGTGACTAAGCAACATGCAGGACATAAATATATATATTTTGAAAGTCCTGGGAGAATAAAAATTAATTCTGTTCCTAGTGCCAAAGTTATTATGAACAAGGCATTGAAGTATTCTCTCCCAAGAGGATTTTGTGCTAAAAAAATAATTTTGCTCATGCAATCAGGGATTCCTGATTTTTTGACACCTCCTCTACCCATGACAGTTCCCTGTGCCTTGTAGTTTAGGGAGATCCTCTGGAACAGTATGACCTTTGGCATGGTGGGATGCAACAGACTGACAAAAACTGGGTGCCATCCTGCAAGAGCAGAATAGCTGTTTGCTTCTGCAAACCCACCTTTGAATTTATTGGCACAGGGTATATGTGATTTTATTTCATTTTTTTTACCCTGTCTTTCTACTACATTTAAAAACAGATAGTTAAAATAATTACGTAAACAATTTAAGAAAAACCTATAAAGTCAGCAATGAGCTGTCTACATAGCTTACTGAATTGGAGCAAAGGATCTGGAGCTCAATTATTCAGTGGGCTTCCTGGAAGAAGAGGTAGCCTGGGTGGCCTTGGGCAAGCTACAGGGTCCCAGAAAGCCTTCAGAAGGAGGCAACTGTTAAACCACTTTTGAGTAATTTATAGCTACAAAACACTGAGGAGTGTTGCCATAAGTTGGAATTGACTTGATAGAGCTTACTGAATTGGAGCAAAGGATCTGGAGCTCAATTATTCAGTGGGCTTCCTGGAAGAAGAGGTAGCCTGGGTGGCCTTGGGCAAGCTACAGGGTCCCAGAAAGCCTTCAGAAGGAGGCAACTGTTAAACCACTTTTGAGTAATTTATAGCTACAAAACACTGAGGAGTGTTGCCATAAGTTGGAATTGACTTGATAGCAAACTATTATTGTTTTTAAATCCAGTTTAAAAGATGTGCTTTTCACACTTTTCCTGAAAGCAGGAGAGTGGAAACTGCTTCTTCCTCTATGCACCCACCAGGACAGCCTTTGCAGCTGACAGTATTTTCAAGATGGCATTTCCTGAGTATCTTATAAATTAGGAGGGAGGAAGGGAAAGATAAGAGATTATTTGGATTTGGTGTCAAAGCAGTGATGTTATGCAGGTCTCAGCAACAGCTAAAGGTAGAGCTTAAAGAAGAGAATATTTTTCCTGTTTAATTAAAGCAAGTCATTCAGGGGGAAGATATTCTGTACCATTTGCCAGTACTATTCTGAACATGCATTCTTTAGCAGCTATATGAGAAAGGATGTAGATGAAAACAATATGAGTTATGAAGGGCTCTCTTCATTATAAGACATATAAAGGTATGAGTTGGGACTAGGTTATCTGAAATGCTATATTCTCCCAGATACCTCTTAATTGTCTTTGGGGGAGATCTTTATCTCGGTCACATCAGAAAAAAAGAGAGAGCTTTCTTGGTGGCTTCTCCCAGGCTTCTGGATTACCGGCCAAAGACAATTTGGCTGGGTCTCTCCCTTCAGCTGGCAGCCAAACATTTTTATATTCAGACAGGCCTTTGGCATTTAAAGTGAGTTGCAACTGAAAGTGTTGCTGAAGGCCAGGATTATAAGTGGTTAGGTAATTTTTCTGTTTGTTTTTATTGATGTGTTTTTAATTTGCTTTTAAATTTTAATAGTATTTGTTTCAATCTGAACTGCACTACTATTAGCCACACTTATTGCCATTTGTTTCTGGTAAAGGATTTTATTTTTCAGAAAGATAGAATATACAGTAAATCTAATAAATAAACTGATTTTATACGGATGAGGATTTCTCTACTCAAAATATGTTTAAATAAGCATCAAACAGCTGGTAAACAGCCATACTGATTATTATTTTTTGTAATTTGTAACTTAAACAAAAAAAGGAAGCACACTTTAAGCAGCCACACACACGCGCGCACACACACACACACAGACAGACAGACCTCCTTATACTTCTAGGTAGTAGCTACATGTTTCAGATAACCAGACTGTTTAGCCACACACGCGCGCACACAGACCTCCTTATACTTCTAGGTAGGAGCTACATGTTTCAGATAACCAGACTGTTTCACACATTCTGCTTTAATGTGAATCCTTGCATAAAAGCAGGGCATGGAGCAGTCCTTGGACCACAGGCTAACCAGTGTTGGGAGGTTTCCTGACACTACTGACAGTAGAGGGTTTCATGTAGCCTCCAGTGGCTGGAATGCTAATGTTTAATTAAATTTACTCACTAATATACAGGGGAAAGAACTTAACTTTTAGCAGTTCTAACCAGCATTCTAATTTGTTTTCAAGCATTAGACAAATATTTCACCATCCCACCACTCTCACCTAAATAGGAGCTCTGATTTCTGTCTTGCAAAACTTTTTCAAATGCTTGACTAGGAAATATAGTAACTCGTTTTTCTGTCTCTTGGACCACGGTGCCCGTCCATTCATAGGCCCCAACAGCACCCAATGTCAGAACCCCCTAAAGACAAAATAAGTTCAAGATTACAATCAGGGAGGCAAAACGGATCAGAATTTTTTAATAAGAATTTCCTAAATTCACCAAGGAATTTTTAAATTCGATGCACATAACCCAAGATTATAAAATTTAGTCACCCAAATATAGACGGAAGTTAAAGTGACAGGTTTGCCTGATCGGTAGAAGAGAGATTAATTACATTTGTGGTAATGAATTAGGATTACCACCGTATATTTGAAGAAGTGCACATGATCTATGAAAGCTCACATTAAAATATACTATCTAGTTTTCAAGGTGCCACATGTTTTTGTCCTTTTGTTTTGTTTTGTTCCTTTGGATTTTGCCTGATACACCTCCTTTTCTGACAGTCTCCTTGTCTTTAAAAGCAAACATGGACTAATAGACCCAATATGTTCCTTTCCTTCTGGGATAACTCCAGCTTGTTGAATTTGGCTGGTGCAGACCAGTGAGAATTCTGTTCATTAGTTTTCAAGGTGGCACATGTTTTTGTCCTTTTGTTTTGTTTTGTTCCTTTGGATTTTGCCTGATACACCTCCTTTTCTGACAGTCTCCTTGTCTTTAAAAGCAAACATGGACTAATAGACCCAATATGTTCCTTTCCTTCTGGGATAACTCCAGCTTGTTGAATTTGGCTGGTGCAGACCAGTGAGAATTCTGTTCAGTTTGTTTTTACTAGAAACATGCCAAAATGTGCAGAGGTCTTTACAAAATTGATGTGGAAAAATTGAAATTTAAAACAGGTATATAGGAAAAAGCAAAATAATTCTCTCCATCCACAAATAAGTGAATTTGGATGACATAAGAAGGAATAGGACAAAGGAAAATAAGAGCATGTTTCTGTGATACTACATGACAATTCATGCATTTCTGCAGCACTACAGCTGCCATGTTGTAATAAGCAAGAGCTTTGGCCTATCTAGTATTGCTTATTCCAACCACATGGAGAATTCTGGTAGTTATAGCTCAGAACATCTGGATGGGGGCTCTGGGTGCTTATAGGAGTTGTAGTCTAATACAAAGAAGGCACCATCATGCAGAAAGCTGGTTTAGGTGACCTTCAGCATGTCTTTTAGTTTTAAGTTTGTATTACTCGATGAGCTTTACAAAAAGCATATTCTTCACATCAAAAGTATAACTGCTCATATACTATTTACTGTTATAAATATCCTATATAATTATCTATTATATTGTGGTTCATTATGGTAATAACAAACTATTTATTTAAATAAACAAATAATAAATCTATTATTAATATAGCACAGCTGATAACATTAACTTTTCATCACGTTAGAAGATAGTCATTACCTTTTGTTGTGAATCAGAAGCACTGAAACCCACTTGTGACATTTCCAGCTGGAATAAATCACCCTGATCAGTACCTGGTATAGGGCAAAAGAAGTCCACTAATATTTATGCTTATGTTTAAACAACAACAAACCTGCTATTTAGAAATATGTCATGGTTTCAGTGGGACATACTGTCACATAATAATTAGGATCAGAAAGTTATCTCAGGTATACCTAATGAGTTGCAAGGTGATTGTTTGGTGAGTCTGTACCTATATAAGTGATTCAACAGGTCTACTTTAGTTATGATTCACTACTGGATTTCAGCCAATATCAGATAAAACACGCTAAAGATTAACTACATGTTTGCAATAAACCACTGAAAGTGTATTTGCTGTAGGTTAGCTGCAAACATATGTGACCCCACCCATTAATACATGTGCAAATTGCAGTGCTTTTTTCTTTGTTTTAATCCAGCATGGGTGGCTGTGCACACTGTTGCAGGGTGTGTGTCAGGAGCTAAGCACAACATCACACAATGGGGACAGGAAAGCAGTCCAGTGAGGAGCAAAGAAGGCTGGAGAACAGGGGAAGACTGGCAGGGAAAAGAGACAACCCTCTACCACTTGAAACTGTGGTGTATCTAAAAAACAAAGCAGAATAGAATTGGATTCAATGCCATTTTGAACCCTAGTAGGGCTACAACACTATGCATTTGATCTGTTTTTTTCACAATATGTAGGATGGCCCAGGATGTTTTTCATCCTGGTGAATAAGAATACCTATATGGCTGTCTACTGAAAGACTTAACCTTAAACAGAATTAGACCTGGTGAAGTCTACCGATAACAATGGATTTAGGGACACCTGTTGATTCATAGAGCCAGCTGTTACTGTAGCACTGAATCAGCAGGAAATGGTGGCAATTTACTTTTGTTCACAGAAGATCAAACATTGCATTACAGAACCTGCAGCAGAGGAAGGTGTGATGGGCTGTACTACCTGAGAAAGACAAGTCCCAGACATGTGTCTTTAGGTCTTAAGTCTAACGGGTACGTTTTTTGAGTATTATCACCAGCAAGTCATACCCTTTTTATCCCCAGTGTATCCTTAGTCCCCCCATGGTTTGACTTTGGAAATTTAAAGTGCAAATGCTAGAAATGGGTAGCCACAGTTGACAGTTTTATGATGTACACAGTGTATTAGCAACTACATGAAAAACAAATAATATAATTATTTACAGTACCATTTAATCTGCAATAGGAAAATAGCAATATTCCAAAAAGAACCTTTCATTTATTACCTTCTATGCTGAAAATTCTCTCTCCCAGTGTCCCTGCTTCATCTAAAAGTGCAGCCTCAGAAGACACATTAAAGAAATATCTTGATGTAGGAAGGCTGGCAATACCCTGAATTTCCTTGATCAAATTTTTAGTATCCATTACATTTCTAATTAAATAGCCCAATACCTGAGAAAAAGAGATAGAAGATGTCTTGCTTAATAAGAAACGCAGCAGATACAATTACATTTGTAGTGAACCAAAAGTGATAACGCGTCTACAGTGTAATATTTATGTTTTTGTCTATTGCTTTACACAACTTTAAGTTCTTGAAATGTTCAGCTATGGCAGATTAAATGGCAAGAGAAGCAACAATACATTTGGTTTCTTTGCACATTGCTAAAAACAAGAACATGCATTGCAAAGCAACAACAAAAAGGACAAATAATCCACAAGACTGCATATACTAATTTGTAGATACAGAAGAAAAATGAGAAAGAATTTGTATTGTAAAGTAACTACAATCTGCCTTGCCTAAGTGAGGAAGTATATGCCTGCTGAGTTTCCTGTCCACTGTGAATAGCTATCTTCTAGGCTTTTGATCTCTTCTAGGCTTTTGGTCTCTCTCTTTATAGCTGTTTTCCTTTAAATCAGACTTACAATGTTCTGTAAGCTGTACTGTTATGACTTTGACATCTCCCTTCAACTCTACAACTTGAACGTCAAACTGTAGACACTTTTAAAAAAATAGGAGAGTCTCCAGCAAGCTTTCAAATAGAGGACTATCTTCTATAAAAATGGGCAAGCCCTCACCTTTGCCAGTCATAGTAATCTACTGCAGAAAGTACAGGGCAGGGGCAAGCGGAAAAAACAGGTGGAATCCTCCATGGCTTGTATTGTCCTCCTACCACCTCTGTTTCTGCATCACGCAGCACACCTCACTGCAAACACCATACTGACATGGTGAGTTAAGCAAACTTTAAACAACTGCAATATTTCAACTGTTCCCACTGATGACATCTTGAGATGTTATGCCATAGCCACCCCTCCATAAGTTAACTCTTTGTGCAAAAAAATAAACAAAGAAACTCCTTAGAAGGTGCCATTCTCCAACCTGGTAAGGGTCAAATTATTGTGGCTACAACTATATTTTTAAACCACTATGCAGGATGCATATTTAGACATTCTCCCTTCATTGAAGCAAGTAGGGAAAAACAACTTCAAAAACTCCATATACACTTAGACATAAACGTGGAACTCTCATATTGGTATGTTCAGACACTTAACAGAAAATTGCTCCCAGAAGCCAACTGTTATTCTGCTCTCAGTCTTCTCAATTCTCCTCAATTTCTCCAGTTAGGGCTGGGGAACCAGTGCACCATCAGATATTAATGTATCCTAGTACTCATCAATTTTAGCCATTACCAAAGGCAAGGGATGGCAAGATTTGCAATGGTCTGTTGTCCATCAACATCTGGAGGTCCTCATATTCTTCATCATCTAATTCAACAAAGCAAGGCTAGCTAGAATTATAATATTAATAATGACAAGAACTTTACTTACTGCTATGCCAAATCTAGTGATATTGTCCTCATTGCATTTAGCTATCACTTCTTGCAATTTTGACCCATCATGTGACTCACCATCTGTCACAACAACCATGACTTTGGAGGCTCTTGGTCGCCCTCCAGATTCTCTTGAGAAAGCGTAACGTCTGAAATGAACAGCATGTCCAATTTATTTAACATGAACACTATAATTTATTCAGTATGAACACCAATAAATTACAGCTAGAAAACAGCATCAGTAAAGAATTCTTGTTGTTGATCTGTGTCACCAAGCCCGAATTGACTTACAGTGACCCTAATAGGACTTTCAAAGTAAGTGAGATATTTAAGGAGTGGCTTTACCAGTTCCAAACCCCCAATGAGCTCCCACTGCAGAGCTGGTAATCAAACTCAGGCCTCCTGAATCCTAGACCCTCACTCCATTACACTGGGTATCTGTAGAAATCTTAGCTAAATACAGATAATGCTGACCTAACTTACAATGAACAAATTCTGATTTTATCATTACATATAGTTTTTATGACTAGAATGAAGGTTTTTTTTTTAAGGAAAAAAAGATGTCTCTGGCTGCTATTTGTGTGCTTTACCTGGCATATTCAATTGCTTTGAATGTATTTGTATAGTCCCCTCCCTTCTGATCAGTCTGCGTCATTGCTTCTACGACATCTTCTTTATTGTGGTATGTATTCAGATTGAACACCACTCTTGGATCATTACCATACTGAATTAAGCCTACCTGGATTCAGAAAAAAGAAATTAAAAGCAAAAGGCTTTACAACACTACCTAAATTAATCCATACAGTGTATCTAGATGACAGACAAGAAAATACTGTAAATCTACATGGCCAATCCAAGCATAGCATGTATTGTTGTTGCTACTAGTTGCATCTGATGGTAGCTTTGCAGTAGCAGAAAGTACTTGCACAAGGCAGGGCACCTACATGCAGGCTCTAAAGCCAGCTTGCATGGAAATCCTATTTCTTAATATAGTAAGTTACAACTAGAGCAGGCCCAATAAATCAGTGGGGAATTGGTGAGTAAACTCCATAGGTTCCACTGATTCAAATGGACATACTGTAGCATACTACAGCTGTGACGTGATTTTACTGGCATTTCAGCCAGTAAAATCAAACTTTCTGCTCTTCTGGTGATGCTCACCCTAACATTTGTGTCCTCCACACAAGTATCCAGAGAAACATAGCAATTTCCTGAGACGTCAGCTGACACCCAGAGATCTGGCAACCCTAGAAATGATGCACTAGAAGTAAGTAGGGCCATCTTACTCAAACAGATGTACTTTCCATTGAGACAGAGTGGACAATCTTTACAATAATATGGTCTCCATTCTATAAGTGTGTGTGTGTGGGGGGTACCCATTGGCTACACGCATGCAAATCACACTTGGTTCCTGTGTTAAACCTCACCTACCTCTGATCATCTTAAAAAGGGTGCTGGTATGAGGGTGAGATTAAAGCATCCTTACCACCTAAACTGATCTTCTGCAGTATCTTTGGGACAGAAACAGAGAGTGAGGCCAGGACTGAATTAAGTAAGGCTGAAGCCCTTACTTAAAGAGGCTCCATCTGTGTCTATTAAATGCCATAAGGTCACTTCCAACTCACATGACTTTAGTGGAATTTTCGACCAACAATCTAAATTTTTTTCCAAACCAGATGTCTTATTGGTCAATATTTCTTTAAAAGGTGACGAGGAATGGTATAAATGTGATTTGGAGAATTGTGGAGAATATCTTTGTATTTATTATTTGTAATATGATGGATTGTCTTTTCATTCTTTAGAAATATAAATAAATAAATTTTAAAAAAAGAAAAAAACTTAGTGGAATTTTAAAATTATGTGAAATGTTCAGGAGTGGTTTATCACTGCCAGCATGAAGTGCATTTCCATGGCTGAGTGAGGATTTGAATCCAGGTCTCCCAAGTCCTAATCTACCCAGTATCCTAGATGGAGTCACAAGAGGTTGCACAGCAGTACTCAAACGGCAGCATATTCTAAGAACTGTGCAAAGTTGGATTTTTTTTTGAAAACTGATTTAGAGGGCCCTCATAATCTGAGGACTAAACTAGTTTATTAAACTAAACTAGTTTATGTCAGTTTGGCACAGAGGTAGGCAGGGAATGGTTTAGCATCACCTTTCCAAGCTAGTGATCAGGAATGCTGTTTTCCTCCTGCTGTCCCAATGGGGGTGAAAATGAACAAACAAACAAAATGCAGGAGGCACACAGGGAACTATGTTACCTTGTATGTCCCGCTCTCAGCCCCATAAGGCTCTTGCTGTTAGGTGGATTAATGAGAGCCCTTATTCTGCTTGTAATTGGAGCCCATGGGGATGACTTGCCTCATCATCTGTGGCAGTGACTCTGGAAGGGGAAGTTTGGGAGAGCAGGATACCACCCTAACACAAAGTCACCAGACTAGTGAAAAGCCACCATTAGATCCAGCCCAATATTTGACAAGAAAACAGCACAGGAGTGTGATTTTATATCAACTGTTAGAACTTACTCAGCATACATATGGCTGCATTAAATTGCTGTAAAGATTGCTTGTCTTTCCAATTTTTTATGGTTCTTTGAAAAGATTAACATCCAAATATTTCAATGGACTCATTAGAAATAATGAAACTGAGCACACACATACATGAGCATGCAAACACACAAATATATGTATATAAGTGACTACGGTCTTAGAGGTCACTTCCAAATTTTAAATGTGTTCTACTGAGAATCCTGATGACAAGCAAACTGAGAGTTTACAGTTTCTGTGCAAATGCTCTGTCCACATAACGTACATGAACTGTAGAAGTCATTCCCTTCTTTCTGAGATATTACTGTGGGTGAGATAAGGCCAGACAATTCCTGGTATGTGAGAAGGAAATTCATTAGTTACCATACTTCCACCCAATCCCTCATATCAAGGAAATGCACCCAAACAAATAATTATGCACTATTTTGCAGGCTGTAATGAGCATTGAAGTATTTCTTCTACTAAGATTACATTATTAAACAACCAGCATGCATTGTTTGGACAAAACTTGATAGTTCTATGGAAAGGAAAAAACTATAGCTATTATTATGGTCCCATTCTTTGACTTCATTTGGAAGTAGAATGAATGACTAAAGACATTCAATCCTGTGTCTCTCTTTGTGTTGATTTTCTTCTGTTTCTCAGCCTCAAACAATTTAAAATATATATATTTCTAGTAAAAGATACCTTGCTTTCCTTAAAAACCAACAGAAACATTAAATGGCTACTGAATTTCTTTCTTTCTTTTTGTAATGTTGAACCCACTCACCTGAGTTTTTGTGGGGCCTATATCTAAACTTTGGGCAAATTTTTCCAAAAATGCTTTCACAGCATCCCAAGGATAAATACTGTTTGATTCATCACATACGACCACAACATCTATCGCTGAAGAACATTCTGTAAAAGGAAAGGATGGGGAAAAAAATGTTTGTTTGCTGCCTTTTTCATTCATGCTTTGTGTCCAAATGTAAAAAAAGATTAGAAATCAGGCCCAGATCTTTCCATTTGATGACATTCCTTAGAATTTCTTATCTTAGCCAGTTCTTTCGAATGTATGGGTTCACTCCCACTTTCAAAGCTAATGTACTTCTTACTGAATGTTGTTCACATTTACAGCCTTACTTTGCACAGCCGGTGAAAAACGCCTTATGACCTGGAAGCTTGGACTGAGTTCCAAACAGATTCCTGTTGTGTAGTACTGGCTTCCACACTGCTGTGCCCATAAAGGACCACATGTCTTTGAAATAAAAACAAAAAGGGGAATATTATTATTTAAAGCAAGTCCACTAATATTAAGACAAGACATTTAATCTTTTTCCTGCATCTGATCAATACATTTTACTATATCATGCTCTGTCCAATGCCAGTGTCATGGTTCTGCATCATGTGAACCAATATCTGGAGTAGCTCTGAGGAAATCCATATGCTACAGTATACCTTAACTCAATTACACATCACTTCAAATTCCTGGATTCAACACACTCTCCTGATCCAGTCATCATAATTAGCCAGGGATCCCTGGGACCAATTGTACACTGGTGGACATTACTTGGTTACTTCACTTGCAGTGGGAAAAGTGCAGCTAATTTAGATTTGGAGAATTTTGGCTGCCGAGTCAGAAGTACTCTCTTATGCACCCATTGGAATGTGGGCTGAAGTCTCATATGCCCAGTGCTTTTACTTGCCAATCATTAGAGGCTTTCCTCAGTAGCATATCTCTGACCACGGAACATAACTGACTGTGAACCCAAGTGGAAGCCAGTGTTAGAAGAGGAAGAATCCCCCTTGAGCAGCAAGGGTAGGACAGACTCTCTCCCAACTTAAAAAGCAACAACAACAACAGCCTTGTGCCTTCTGAGACTCCTTGAGAAAAACAGAGTTGCGCCTTCTGAGACTCCTTGAGAAAAACAGAGTGAAAAAAAATGGTGGCACATTCCAAGAAAGAAGGGTCCTTGTACTCAAGCTACTTTATAATATTGCTATATATCCTTTCTCCTCATTTTTGCTTCAGCAAAGTTTGTAGGGGAGTTCCAGGGATTAGAGTCCTAAAGGAACTGTCTAGAGGCAGCAACAACATGGAGAGGGGATGCAGGTGACTTACATCTAAGGGTCACTTATTCCAGATATGTACGTGACTGCAATGCTTTGCAGAGCTCTTTGTCGCTTGGATGGTTGCTGCTGACTAAGCAACATGGAACTGGCAGCGGACTGTGACTGGCTGGATGAGGGACTGTCACATAAAGCTTTGCTGACAGATGTCTCACACAGTTGCTAAATACCTTGAAAACATGCTTTCCTGACTCGACACATCAGCAATTTCTCTTTATATAGTATCCAAATTGCAAATTCTAAATATCCAGGTGAAAATCCTATTTGTTCCATTAAAGGCACAGTCTGTGGCATGAACAGTTGGCTCGTTTCCAGGCCTGCACAAGGAGGCATCCAGTAATGCCTCTTTGTGCAAGCTTGAAAACTATTCAGTCACTCAGGAGATGGAGTTTTGCGTGAGGTGCACTGCACTAATATTGCAATATGCATGACTATTCAGTGAACCTGTTTTTTTCAATTCCCATAAATGCTATAATGCATATTTACATGGGTCTCTACAATGCAAGAAACATTGTGGATAATGCAGTGAGACCACTGGGGACTGATTTTTGCTACATATACAATACACAGAATGTGTTTTTAAGGCTATGCAAATAGCATGCTCTAAAAGGTTTGTCAGAATGCAGAAGTGACACTTTAACAAACACAGAGAATGCTTCTGAAGAACTACAGAAGAGAACTTTTAATGCCCATAGTTATGTATAGCGATAACTGGCTATTGGCATGCCATTGTAATGTGCAGGTGAGGAAGAAGAGAACTGTAGTCTGAAAATAAACAAATAGTTTCAACTGTAATTCTAGTTTTAAAATATAATATCCATTTGCTCTACAAGTTTTTGCCTTAATTATAAACTTACTGGAAAAAAATTAAAACTTCAGATGGGGCGGGGTAGGGGGAGGAAGAAGAGAGCTTGACCAGAAGTAAACATCTTAAATGTTTACCTGGCTGCACATGGTGCGCCCAGTATGACAGATTCAGGCTACTCATCGACACTAAGGTGGCCTCTTCGTTGCCATCCCAGTGCAGCCCAAAGGACAGTGAGAGGCACACATCTCCAGTGGCTCTCTCTGGACTTCCTATTGGCTGGTGGGACAGTGCAGGTGTAGAGACATAGAAGGGGCATGCAACTGGACAGACTTCACTCTGGTCTAACTCCATCCAGATAATCAAAGTCTAGTCAGGCTCCTAGTTTTCTCCTCCTTGCAGGTCCTCCCACCTTCCCTCCCTGTTTGACGTTAATGGCCTTAGTTTTGGTTGATTATATTGATTTACTTTTTATTTATCAGAGTTATTAATTTGTTAGTAGTCTTAATTCATGTCACAACTTTGGAGGGCAGCTGTGAGTCATTCAGTTGGATCTAGGTGTGTGTGGGGGGAAGTATGCCCCCCCATGTTTTTGGAATCCCCTTAAGCCATGACTCAAAGCCAAGTCATGATCAGGCTCAGTTTGGAAGCCAGAGGACTGCCCTCACCCTCAGATTACAGGGAGTGGCTGTGTGGCCGTACGGTCTCCACCAGAATGTCATTCCTGAGTTGGCCCAGCTAGTGGCTGGGTGGTGTTGGTTGCACCAGGTTGGGGCTTGGGCCTCCCAGTGCTCCAGATCCATGTCCAGTACCATGCCAAGAATGCTACCAAAGCTGTGCCCTTATTTTTCCCATGAAATGGAATCTGATTTCTTTTTCCTCAAGTCCCTGGGCCTGCTTAGCATTAAGAGCACAACAGAAGTGGTGTTATATACACTTGGGACAGGATTGGATCCAGACTTAAATGCGTAACAGGTAGAAACTGGAAATAGCAGATGTTTAAATCTCAATATGTGGTTGAAAATGGGAGAAATGCCAGCCCCTCTGAGGGACATTTACCAAACCAAGGATATAACTATTGGGTATATACATGTACGTATGTATATGGATCTCTACCCCCAAGTTTTTTTTTTTAATTTCAAGGGTAAGGGGAAATAAATCAGGATAACAGGGAATACATCAAGCCATGCATTATCACATATTATCTGTATTTAAACATATCATTACATTAAGAACTTTTGAACTTTTGTCTGTTAGTTGCCTATATAATTCTAACTAGAGTTACCGTACTTGACTATTTTGTATTAACGTTATCACATTTGGCTTTCAGGTTATACAACGGATCTAGTTATATATAGGGTCTCATTTTTCAGTTGCTTCTTGGATTGAATTGTCTTTAAACGTAAACATAGCACTAGAATTTGCTTATCCCTTATATCATATGCATAACAATTTATTGCATTTAAAAAGTATAATTCTCTATTTACACAGATAAACATAGAAAACCTACCATGTAGTTACACATTGGGACAGAACTTATGTTTATATTACTCACATCTTCAGCACTTACCAAAAATCCTCTAGTTCTTGAGTTTCTTATTAGAGTTAATCCTAAATTCATATCCTTCTTTATCTCAGTAACATTTGGGATGCTTGCAAAAGCTGAAAAGACATAATGCAACATATATTAAAGGAAAAAATCAAGATGCTGTTTTAACTCATAAATACCAAGTACCTCAGGCCTTACAAATGTATGAGGCTGCCTCTCACCTGAAACCATTTATTTTCTAAGAAAAAGCCAGTAGGCCTTTCCAATATGTACCTAAAGTCTGTGTGATAAGTGTCTTGCATTTGCATAGTTACTTTTCCTGAAGACACACATCAGGAACTGAATCTAGGGAATAATCCAAGAACTGGATCCAACGTAAATCCCAGCAAATGTAAATGAATGAATTCAATGGAATGCACATTAGTTCTGATAATCAACTTCATTTCAGTGAAGCTACTCTAGTTGAGATTAACACTAGATTTAGCTCTACAAATTTGCACTTTTGTTTACCATTTCAGATGTCAGAAAGCAAATGGTTTGTTCTTTGTAATTACATTTCATTTAGAACAAGTCATTACCAGCATCAAGCTCCTAAGAGAGATGAGTAATGGCCAAATATTCTTCTTTCAATTTGTCAAGCTCATTCTGACTTTAGACTACACAAGATGGCAAACCCTTCCTTCTTCTGCATGGAAAAACACATTCTCTCTCTCTCTCTCTCTCTCTCTCTCTCTCTCTCTCTCTCTCTCTCTCTCTCTCTCTCTCTCTCTCTCTCTCTCTCTCTCTCTCTCTCTCTCTCTCTCTCTCTCTCTCTCTCTCTCTCTCTCACACACACACACACACACACAGATTTTGAAACACAAATTGTGTTACATTCTGCGCTTTGATGCTGGGAAGTGCAAACTGCACAATCCTGAATTAAAATGTAAAGACAGGGATCAATATTTGAATGAGACAGCAAGATTTTGGGCTAGTTATTTCTGCATTAGCTAGTTAGGGTGCTGTTTAAACTCCAGTTTCAGCAGAAAAATGTCTTGGGTCCACACTGGATGCAACCAAAATCATATCAGAAAACAATTTCTGGCACGGGCATCAGGTGTCAGATAAATCAGGAATTACATCTTGCAATTAAAAAAATAATCTGTAATTATTTCTGGAATGTTTGATGTAACAGACCTATATATTCCTAAATTAGAAGTGATGGATTTCAACTACTTATATATATTTCTTTTTCCTGAAGAGGAGCATTCATAAAAGTGCAGGGCTTTTTGGATTCTGGGCACCAAGGCATTTAGAAAGCAGGTTAAAATGTCCCAGCAAAACACTGTCAAACAGTAAACTATTCCCATAATTGTTTTCTTGCTACTCTTCATTCCATCTTAATTAATAAACAATCAGCTGCACCATTTACAAAATCGAACTGTTGCAGAAAGGCAGTGTGATATAATAACTAACAGTGTCAAATTTGAGTTGGGGCAATTGAGGCTGAAATCTCTGTTTAGCTATGAGTAGGATCTTGGGTCAAAGTTAGCCTAACATCACTGGCAGGGTTACTGTGATGATAAAATCAGCAGCAGGGACCAAAGCAGATAATCATGAGAGAATCTGAGACAATTTGAGAAAGAGGAAATAATACTTCTGTAAAGTGCTGCTACTTACCTTGCAAGTTCATCTTTGAACATTGGGTTCCTTGCTGATGAATGGCACACTTATAGATATCGCCCGCTCTATTTATTGGATATCCACTCCAGGGTGAACCAACAAGCAACCTGAAAATTAGGCAAGAGTAGTATTTCATGTGTAACACTGAACCTAAGACTTCACATTACTACAATACCTAAAATTGTTTCTCTGGCTTTGTGAAACAGCCTTCACCAACTTAGCCTCTAGATATCTTGGATGACAATTCCCATCATCCTAATCCAGGATGCCTAACGGCTACTGTAAACATTTAGAGAATACCAGATTTACAAAATATTTCAAATCTATCCAGGGGCCATTATATTATAAAGACAGAAATGGATTTCAAATTTATCTTTTGCTGCATGCTCAAAATATCACATTCTCTCTGGCCAATTCAATTATCAGGTGGTAAAGTCCAAGAGACTTTACTACAATTTAATTTCATGCAGAAAGCCGTTTGTGTCCAATTGTTACATAAAGTTTGTCAGTATGGTGTCTGCCCAGGTCATGAATATTCATATGCTATATGCATAGATCAATGGGAGTGCTGGAGGGGTGGAGTCACGAGATATAAGAGACTCTGCAGGAGGAGGGCGAGTTTAGATAGGGAGTTAGAGAACGTTTTGGAGTTTGGGTGGGAGAGTGGTGGTTGAGAGGGATAAAAGTGAATGTTTAAGAGTTAACAACATTGCTTATTCTATCAACATATGTAACAATAAACAATTTCTATTTGGTTCTTTTAAAATGACATATGGCCTCGGCATATATCATTAATAATAGGTAATGTTGATATAATCAACTGGTGGCAGCTGAGGGGCACGTAGTGTGAGCTCTTCGTTTGGTGAAACAAACAGGGACCATGTGGGAATCGTGGCAGTCAGCTAGAATCATTTTTCTTTGCAGCACTTGTACCACTTTCTCCTAACAAGAACTAAAACATAGTTTATATTTTTATTTGTGCTATCCAGCCACCAAGATGGATAGTAGGAAAAAATTCAGGTTATAATTGAGGCCAACCTGACATTAAATAACCCTTGTTATTAATGCCAACAATCCAGGAAATGCAAATTCACCCATGCTAGGGGCATACACCACTCAGGATCATATTGTAAATTACTGCTGGCTACTGGAGAGCACCAAACAATTTCAGAAGATCATATGTGTAAGTTCAGTAGGTAAGGTCTTCCTTTCTTTCCACTTCCACATCAGCTCCACACCAAGTTCCAACACATGTTGATTGTTAAAAAGTGGGATAAAATACTGTACATCCCTTTTCTTTCTCAAAAGACATCCATAGTGGTTGTTGGCAGATGCAGAGGACCAGATAACTGCAGCCGCTGCATTTGAGCTTTGTCAAATACTCTCCTTTCTAAGATGTGTGCAATCAATACTCATGTGGATGGGGTCCTAACTGATTACCAGTTTTATACTGCAAGGTGACTTGGGAATACTATAGTTTTAAAAGTCAGCTAAGAAACGCATTCAGGGATATATATTTAAAAGAAGGCGATTTCCAGCTTCATGTGAATCGAGTTCATCTCATGCCTTTCCCATACTTCCTCCAGTCTGCTTCAAAGGATCTTTCAACCCCCTGAAACAGATTTGGAGGGTCTGGGTGGTGGGTATGTGCTTCAAGTGAGAATGTTACTCTGTTCCACTAGTGCAGAGTTTCCCAACCTTGAGTAACCCAGGTGTTCTTAGACTGCAATTCCTAGAAAACCTGGCCAGCAGAGTTGGTGGGAAAGGTTTCTGGGAATTGCAGTCCAAGAACACCTGGATTGCTCAAGGCTGGGAAGCATTGCACTAGTAGTGTCATCTCTTTCAGCAGATGATCATGCTGAATTTCCCCCCCAAACTGTAAGTTATTTAGGCACTTCAGGAGCTGTTCAGATATGCAAATGAAGGGCTAAATCCAACTGATAGTCCCTATTAGAGTCGACTCCCTGAATCAATGAGACTTGCGTATGTGTTGACTTAACAAATCCCATTCACTAAAAAAGACTATATTAGTTGGTTCTATAAACTGGATAGAGCCCTAAATGTTCACTGTGTTGTATGCATATTTCCTAAAAGGTAAACCCATTTCAGCATTTATTTAAAGACTAGCTTGCCTGCTGCCACAAAGGAGAAATTTCCCAAACAGATTCAGAGTATTGTCATTCCAGTTTAACATTATTTATATAAATGATATAATTAAGTGTCTAAAGTCATTCCGTAGTTATGAGTTATGCTGATGGATGGTCACACAGAGACTCAAAGTGAAAATAACCAGGAACAGCCTACTTATCAAATAAAACAACCATTCTGTTGCCTATTACAGTGGGGCCTTGCATTACGACATTAATTCGTTCCAGCGAAATCGCTGTAGAACGAAAACCTCATAATGCGAAAATAAAAAGCCAATTGAAGCGTATTAAAACCCATTTAATGCGTTCCAATGGGCTGGAAACTCACAGTCCAGTGAAGATCCTCCATAGGGCAGCCATTTTCGGTGCCTGTGCAGTGAGGAATCCGTCCCAGAAAACAGCAGGGAGCCATTTTATTTACCCAGCGGCCATTTTGAAACTGCTGATCAGCTGGAAGAAAATAGTCATTTTGCAAAGAATTGGTTCCCGAAGCAGGGAACCGATCATCGCAAAGCGAAAAAAACCCCATTCAGACCATCGTTTTGTGATCGCAATTGCAATCGCAAAAAATCGTCATAATGCGGTTTTGTCATAATGCGGGGCAATCATAAAGCGAGGCACCACTGTATGTGGCTCGGAATTTGTAACTGCCAATTTCCAGTGTTTCTCTGAAACATATTCACAGAATTCTTTGTAACAGACTAAAGGCTGATACTGTAGTTAGTCTTTAAGATGCCACATTTTTTGGTCATTTTTTGTTTGTTCCTTTTTTTCCCTCTGGATTTTGCCTCCCAATCTTGTTAGACAAAGAGTTGCCAGTTAGTGTAACAAGACTGGGAGTGACATTCACTGGGGAAAAGAAGCACACATGATCCTTTAGATTGGTCTTGATTTTTGAAATCTATCTTAAACTATACCTAGCATTAAGCCTGAACTCTTCCTGGGAGCAAGTAAATAAAATCAGTGAAAGCTTGAATTTAAATGCACACTGTGGTCCGGTGGGCCAGATAGGCGGGGTATAAATTAAATAAATAAATAAATAAATAAATAAATAAATTCTGTTTCAAATGAAGCTTGCATAAGATTTGTGCTTGAAATTGACTACAATCAAATGTGTTGTCAAGACCATTAAGTCAAAACGAGTATATCCCACGTTTCCACAACTGTACTGCACAAGTACAGCAGATGGCACTGAGTTCAAATTCCGCAACACAGCTTTAGCCCTTAAAAAGTTTCCAGGCCTTAAGATGGAACAGATAAGCATGCAAAAATATAGGGGTAAAATAAAGACATACCAAAAGCAGAAAGCTGCCAAATACTGGGTCAAGCTATCTTTCTTTTGTACGCTACTCTTGAGTATTTATTCAGGCAGAAAAAGTGAGGGACATAGGCTCTTGGCAGATAATATGGGAGGTATCCTGGGTGCAATGACACCCTAAAGGGCAACATTGTTGTTGTTCTTATCCACCATCAGAGCCACTAACAATTAGGGTGATCTAAATATTCTATTATTAACATCCCTGTTTGGCTCTTGAAAACTCAAGCTCATCGCTTCATTTATTGAAACAACCCATCTCGTACTTGATCTTTTCCTGCTGCTTTCCACTTTCCCCAGCACTGTAGTTTTTTTCCAGTGAATCTTATACAGTGGGGTCTCGACTTACGAACGGCTCGACATACGAACGTTTCGACTTACGAACCACTCTCATAGGAATATATGGACTCGACTTACGAACTTAGATTCGAGTTACGAACTCTTTTTTTCCTTTTTTTAAAAGCTAAGTCATCTTAGGTTAAAAGGAAAAAAGGAAAAAATATCCCCCTCTAGTGGCAGAAGGCGGAATAGCAGCTTCCCATTAGTTTCTATGGACGAAAAGAGCAGATACGGATTAAATGGCTTTCAACGTATTCCTATGGGAAATGCAGATTCTACTTAAGAACTTTTCGACCTGAGAACTGCCTTCCAATACGGATTAAGTTCCTAAGTCGAGACCCCACTGTATTCAAATTATATGCCCAAGTATGACAGCCTCGGGGGGGGGGCAATACGAGAGATCTCAGTTACAAAATCTAAACTGGCCTTTTTTTTAGTTGGGTGCAACTACCAAAGTGATTTAGCTTTGCTACAGCCTGATTTGCAGTCTCTTTTACAGTTGTGTTTAGCTAATCACACAAAGACCCTGGATTGCTTCAGTGGCAGTGTCTACATTGTGATTTGAAACACACACAGTCTAGAGTCCTCTTTACCTTAACACCACCCACCTGTCAATCCCTGAATCTGTTTTCTTTTTTCAGACTATTCAGAGGTGATTTAGTACTAAAACAATGTATCAATGCAGTGGTAAATTGCACTAAACTAAGTAGTTTAATTTTTTCTAAAAAAAAAAAAACACTTCAGGATGACTACGGGAAAAGATTGCAGGGGTGGATGCTCCCACTGTCCCAAAATGTCACACTCCCAGCTTACAAAATCACCATCATGCCACTCAAAGTCACACCCACCATCCTTTTTGTAGAACAAGACAATTACACAGGGAAAATACTATTCAAATTATTTCAGGTTTTAAAAAGTAAAAGCTCCCAATGGTAGAAGAAAAAATTGATTCACATTGGCCTTCCTGTCATGTGATCATTGCAAGATACGTCTAATTCATCCGTCTATGATTCTATTGTTATGGGCAGTAAAACGCATACAGCACAGCACACAGACATTTGTTACTCATTACCCTTAAAACCTCCCAGGAAGTAATACAGTTAATAAAACTAAGCATATATTGAAGGTGGTTTCTTTGGAAAATTGCTAAGGAGTGAAGCAATTTCATGAATAAAGTTGAATTACTTCCTCTCCCCCCAAATATTTCAGATGTCATGAACTGTTGTTCTGGAACTGTGTAGGAGGGAAACAGCAAACAGACATATTAATCCTGGCATTTTTAAATAGTCTTTCTTGGACA